ATGTGTTGGTTAGAATAATGTCGAGGATTTTGTTTGATCTATGAATTGAGAAAATTGAATAAAAGACAAGCTTTTCTAATTATAATGAATGAATGAATGATTCTCCACTTTGCATAAGTACATTGGAACAGGCTGCACCCACCGTTTGTTATATGTGTGCAGGTTGCTGAGTTGAGCCACTGACAATCTTAGAGGGAGAATGTTGAAAGAAGAATTGGCAAGATTGTGCAGGATCAAACTAAGAAAAGTTGGAGAATATGATTAGAAGGGAAAGGTTGATCTTTGGAGAGCAAATTAAGGAAGGGATCTGTCAATTAAGATCAAATCAAAATTATCAGGACTGAAGGTAGCAATCATCATCAGCTAGGAATGAGAATGTATAAAGAGTGAAATAGTCTGGGTAAAGAAGGGCATCCTTTTCACGAGAATAAAAACAGAAACAAAGGTGTACTGTTAGAGTTTTGATTATAGAAGGAGAGAGCTGTCAGGGAGAGAGCTTGTGGGATTTAGCTGATCGAGTTTGAACAACGACAGGGAGCTGTAGGTTATGTGAGATTCTGATCAGAGTGACAGGGAGTCACTGTGAGATCAAAGTTGTATCGGTGTAATCAGAAACTAAAGATCGTAGTATTACGTCAAAGGACTCAAGAAGAGCACCTTTGACCATGGATTAGTCGATACTGAATTCATTAGTATCGGATACCACGTAAAAATACCGTGTCAAGTGTTCAACTTCTCTTCTGCTGTGTTTTGCTTATTTCAAGGTTTCATTCATGTTCTTGGTTTAGTGTGTGTCTGAGTTTTGTGCAGAACAGGGCTTGATCGAAGTGTTGGAAGAGAGGAGAAGGAAACTGTGTTATTAAAACGCAGCGTGCAAATTAACCAAGTTGGGCCGACTTTAGTTTGACAGATCAAAGACAAACTAAGCCCAATCAATCTCGAATTACCTGTCTCAAGACCTAGTTCCAGATTCGGTGTCGTTTTGATAAACAAGAAAGGGAAGCTACTTTACTCTTTCTATCGATTTGCGAGTTCAGTTTATTCGATTGCTTTCACTTGTTCTTGTCGAAACCGAAATTAGGGTTATACAGAGTTTCAATCGAAGAAGAAGGAGAAAGCATCCGCAGAGTCTCGCGCTCGACTCCACCAATAGCCTTTATGCCCCAAATGCCTTTTGCCCTTGTTTTCCCCCCAGACAGCCGAGAGAGAGAGAGAGAGAGAGAGAGAGAGAGAGAGAGAGAGAGAGAGAGCGGAGGAGGAGGCTGGCACCGGAGACGACATGCGATGATTTCCCGGTGATCGGAGACGATAAACAATGATTTTTCGGCGGCAGTGGCAGTTTTGTGATGTTTGTCATCTATTTTATAATGTTTGTAAGTCGGTTTTGTAACGTTTGTATCGTTTATCATTCTGGTTTGTAATGTATATATGACTATTTTGTATATATTGCAATTTTGTAATTTTTGTTTGTCTATTTTGTATACTTTTATGATATGATTTGTATACTTTGTATTAATTGGTTTGTATACAAGTTTATCAAATTGTATTGTAAGTAGTGGTATTTTGTACGGTTAGTATGGTTTGTACTGTTTGTCGGTGTCTTTTGTAATGTTTGTAAGTTTTGTTATTTTTGTCAATCATGTTTGTAATGTTTTTTATGTCTAAAATGAACCTGGTTGACTTTTGGATGAAACTCATCTATATAGAAATAGAGCATCCAAAGTCAACCCGAGTGTTTTTCCATTTTATATGGTTTGTCGGTCTAATTTGTCATTTTTATCCACCATGTTTGTAATGTTTGTATGTCTAAGAAACAACCGGGTTGACTTTGGGACGGAGCCCCTCTATATAGGGATGGAGCCTCCAAAGTCAACCCGGTTGTTTTTTCATTTTGTATGGTTTGTATTGTTTGTCGTTCTAGTTTGTATTGTTTGTACAGTTCATATGTTTGTATTGTTTGTAAATCTGTTTGTATGTTTTGTCGTTAATGTTTGTATAGTTTGTACTGTTTGTAAGTCTGGTTTGTATACTTCGTAATTTTTCATAATACCCAAAATACCCCTGTCACTAATTTAAAATCTCTTCCCACTTTTTAACCGTTAGATTGGTATGTCCTTGTATTTGGCACGTCTCTGGCCATTTCTTAGTCGGTGATGGTTGGCTTCGGGCGGAGGCAATGGCAAGGGTTGGCGGCGGTTGGAGTCTCCAACGAGTCATCTTTGGTTGTCGTCGCCGACTCGTCTCAGGCAATTTTGGTCGCCTCGAGGATATTGAGGGATTTAGGGTTTTTGAATTTTTGTAAAAATAAAATAAAATTATTCATTTTAAAATCTAGGACTACAAATAAGCCCTTTCTAGGGCTACAAATAGCACATCTCTTGCTAAATTCTTAGAGCACGTTTGGAACCTCCGATTCCATATGTTGTATTCTCAGTATACATGTATCCTGAGAATACAACGTTTTTTGACTTGATGTAATAACAGAATGCATGTATTCCTAATCCATGTTGTATTCCTAATACATAGGAAATGATGTATTAATAATCTTACCTTTTTGATGATGTATCCATGCATTTTTATACGGGTTCCAAACAAAAATAATCAAAACCACACATTCTTACCATACACATCATCTTAAAAAAATGGTGGCTTGGAGAAAGCAGAGTGGAGATTGTGCCAACAGTTGTCACCACCATGCCAACGAGAAAATAAAAAAGGGTTAATTGCAAGATTGGTCACTGAGATTACTAAAAACGTTCATGTTTAGTCACTGAAAATATTTAATTCCAATCATGGTCACTAGATTTTATAAAACAATTCAAGTTTGGTCACTCTCTGTTAGTTTTCCGTCCATCTCCGTTAACACCGTCAGTTAACTGCTGACATGCCTAACAGAAATGTTGATTCATCCTATTTTAACCCGCCACATCATAAAATCCGAGCCGCCACGTCATCAAAACCCGTCACGTCAATTTTTTCCAAACCAAACCCAACCCTTCCCAACCCGTGATATGACCCTAAACCCTACCAACAGCTCCCCATCTTCTCTCCCTTTCCATTTTCCAACCAATGTCCCCTTCAATCTTCCGGCCACTCCCCTATTCTCTCTTTCCTCGTGGATCGATGTTGGTGGATGCGATTGACGGCGTGTGGCTGTGATGGCGATTAAGAGTTGCGGCAAGAGGGAGACCAATCCCTCGATGGCATTCACAACACTGGTGCCTTGCCCTTCTATTCCTCGTCCTCAATCCTCACCACTAGCAGAGACTTATCGGCGAAGAGTTGGAGATGACGAGGATTCCTCTCCCAATCGGATATGCAGCAGCTGGGAAAGATTCCCCCCCCTTTTCTGGCTTTAAAGGGATACGATTTTTGGCAAGATTCAGGACGCAATCTTATGGGTTTATTCTTTGTTCACCGACAAAGGCACAGATCTGATGGGGACAGAGCCCAGAGTCATCTTCTCTCTGGAGTTCAAGCGCCAACTCCTCGAGCTGGCTCCGCGTTGGAGTTTCGCCGCCATCGGATGAATTCGGCGATGAAGGCGGCGCTCGGGTTCTTCCTTTCTACTGGCGTTCGTGAGAGCTAGAGGCGGCGTTGCGGTCCCTCTCCAAGGTGCGATCCAAGCAGCTCTCTTTTCCTTCAAAATTTCCCACCGTCACCGACGTCGCTGTCGCTCAGACATCCTCGCCGATGAAATGCCCCTTCCCCCGGCGAATCAAAGGAGTTGGCTCTCTCAATCCAGATCTACGACCGGCGTTGTTTCCTTCTTCGCCATCTTGAAAGTCCCGAACCAGACTTGTGATGCGCTCGATGGCCTACTTCATCTCGATCCCGCCGAACGAGGAAGTTGAACAGACAACAACGCGTCGGTGGTGGCAGAGAGGGAGGAAGAGAAGAAGAGGTCGTCTTCTTGCAGCAGTCAACATTAAAGAAGAAGAAACAAGAGTGCTTCTCATTTCCTTCAAAGAAATTCATGGAAGAAGAAGAAAGATGGCAGTGTTTGGTAGATCAGGAGAGGATGGTTAGGGTCAGATCACGGGTTGGGAAGGGTTGGGCTTGGTTTGGAAAACTGACGTGGCGGGTTTTTATGACGTGGCGGGTCGGATTTTATGATGTGGCGGGTTAAAATAGGATGAATCAACATTTCTGTTAGGGACATCAGCAGTTAACTGACGGTGTTAACAGAGATGGACGGAAACTAACGGAGAGTGACCAAACTTGAATTATTTTATAAAATCTAGTGACCATGATTGGAATTAAATATTTTCAGTGACTAAACATGAGCGTTTTTAGTAATCTCAGTGACCAATCTTGCAATTAACCCAAATAAAAAATGAAATTGGGAAACCTATCGTTTCCCTCGCCACCAGGGTTTGGTTTTCAGATTCAGTTTAGATTTTAGAACGAAGACACCGACTGACACAGAGTAGAGCCGAGCGAAAACAGAGCAAGATTGGATTTTTAGCTTTTAGTTTACAACTGGTTTCTGTTCTCGGGCAATAAGAGGCTTTGGAAAAGTTTAGATTCACTTCTACAGGATTCTAGAGTTTGATTCGACGGTGATACATACATACGGATCTGGGCAAGGCAGGTAGAGATCCGGCGCAGCCGCCATGGCGGTAAGACTCCGTTTCTCATACCTTTTCTCCTTTTCCGTTTCTGGATAGGAGTAAGAATCTCAAATCCGGGCCAGAAGGGGATATCCCTTTCCCTATTTTGTTTCGGAATCGGAAAAGAGAGCGAATTCAATAAATAGTAGGCCTATGCTCAGTTTGCCTTCCCCCGCACCAATAGGCCGAGAAAGAAAGAGTTCTGCTTTAGAAGATAGAGGCATATATCATAGTTCGAATGGCTGATGGATTGAAGAATTGGTCTGAATTAGGGGAGGACCTGCTGTGTAGGATTGGGCAATGTTTGAGGACATTAGAGGATGTGATTCGATCCCGTGCAGTTTGTAAACCATGGAGGCGAGCCCTATTGCCCGAGCAGCAGCGCAGGTTTTCGCCATTCACACAGTGGCTGATGCTGCCGTTTTGCAGGAGCAACAACATGAACATGGAAATTTCAATTCGCAGTACCATCTCCGACTCCCTGGCGGCAGCGGCGGTCGCCACGCCGGTGACTGGGTGCAAAGGCTCCGAGAACTGCCGCTGCTTTTACAATGTGGCGCTGCATCAATTTCACCACATTGAGTTCCCCCAAGGGCTGCAAGGCAAAAGGTACCGCGGATCCACAATGGGCTGGCTGTGCATTGTGGATAAAACGCCCAGTATCTCGTTGTTGAACCCTCTTACCAAGACCGAGATCCCTCTTCCACCCGCCACATCTTTTCCCGATGTGCTGGCCTACCGCCCTGAGAAGGCCCGGGGTGAGTACCTGCTTCGAATGGCAGATGGTTCCGAGGAATCCATTAGCAAGAACTTCTTCTTGAAGAAGTACCTGAAGAGGGTCGTTGTATCTGCTGAGCCCACCTTGCAGGAATGCATCGTGATGGCCATCCGCTGGAACACCGAGGATAATCGCCTGGCATTCTGCAGGCCTGCTGAAATTGAGGCAGGATGGAAGCTGGTTGCTCACGAGGAAGAGAATGGTATACCCCCGGACAAGATTGGTTTCGTGGATGTGGTTTTTTGGAGGGATCGATTTTATGCTCTTGACTGGGGAGGAAGGATTCTGGTGTGTGATTTTTCTGCTAACCCACATCACCCGACCCTGTCGTTCTTTCTTGAATTTCATTCCAATCGCTATGGTTACAGCTATGCCGACAATCAATACTTGGTTGTGTGTCCAGCTGCTGTTACCGGAGATGACGACGATCAGCTGGTGATGGTATCTAGATTTACGAAATGGATGGACATTGACGAGAGCGATGATGACAGCAATTCGGATGATGATTGTGAACCAAGTAACACCGCCAGAACTTATTGGGCTGAGAAGTTCAAAGTTTTCAAGATGAAGAAGGATGTCGTAGGATGGGATGAGTTTAACAGCATAGGGGAATTTGCCTTGTTCTTGGGCTTCAGCTCCTCTGCAACTTTTGTCCACACCAAAGCGCATCCTGGAGTAGTTCCCAATTCCATTTATTTCACGGACGATATCATTGACAGCCATCGAGGGCGGATGCATGGAGGTCATGACATGGGCGTCTACAACCTCGCCACTCAAAAGGTCATGCCTCTCTATTCTACCACCACTTTGCATGATAACCCTGTGATGATTTCTCCATTACCTCTATGGTTCTCTCCGTCGATTGTTACTGGGTCGTAAGCACCTCGCTGGAGAAATCAACTATCGGCCAGTTTACTTACTCTTGTAGCCAGCCTATTGCAGGTAGTTCCATTCCTTACTCTTGTGTTGTGAACTTTGTAATCTATCGTTATCATGCTACCTGCAGCTTTGTAATCAATCTCTTTATTTAATAAACAATGCAGTCGGGTAATTTTTTTCTATGATGAATTATTTATATCATGTTTCACTTTGAATGCTGGTGTCGAATTTTTGTATGGAATCGTCAAGTTCAACAGAAATGTGGTCTATTCTTTTGGTACAAGAAAGAGAGGCCTCTGCAATATTCAGTTAGCTTTTCTTTTGCACATCCACTGTGGTGCTTCGTCTTCTTCAACCCTTTTCTTTGTCTTTTCTTTTTCCTGACGTAATTAGGCGGGGACAGGATTCGAACCTGCAATCTTCAGGTCATGAGCTTTACTAAAGTCGAACCTGATTCTGATACAGATACAGTGATAGAATTCTTTGAATTGAAACCTTCTCTGCAAAGGAAACAAACGATGGGAGGAGGCCTATCATGAACACAATGTTCTCGTTTTGATCCTCAGTAACGACGTGATGAGCAACTGTGGTTACAGATAATGAGCTGAGTTGCTATTCTTCCATAGCGATACAGGAGAGTAACCTTGTGCATTTGATTTCACAACATTTGATGATTACATCTAAATTCAAGCCAACCAGCATACATAACAATGACAGCAGTCAACAGTAATATAATATTAATAGCGCTTTCATTCACTCCATGTCCGCTCTTGACGAAAACCCACAATGAAATTAAGCAGCCTCCATCACAGGTTCTGGGTTTCCCATCTTTTGGAGAAGAACCAAGAACGGCTTTAGATCTGTAGTAGCTGAAGTTACAAAGTGAAGAATTTTACCATTCTATTATTATAACTTTCATCTGCTAAGTGGAACAGACACAATCAAAAGAGGCCAATGGATCATCCTAGTTCCTACTTAGCTGACACAAAAGGCTTGATCCAGGTAAATTTGAACTACGTCAAAAAGGCCCATCAGGCCCATGAACCCCCGTAGAGCCCTAGCCTTGTCCATTCTCCATGAAGACCTTCCTTGGATTTTAGACGGAGACATGGCCCAGTTGACATCCACAAGATTAACAAAATAGGGGTAAATGCCACCTTTGGTCATTGACATTACTAAATCGTGTCATGTTTAGTCATTAGTAAAACTTAATATCAATTTTGGTCACTCGAATTACTGAAACAAGTCATATTTAGTCACACTCATGTAGCCTCTGTCCAACTCCAGTCACTCGAATTATTGAAACATGTCACAATTAGTCACTCGAATTACTGAAACTAGTAACATTTAGTCACTCTCCCGTTAGTTTCCGTCCAACTCCATTAATGAATTGGACGGAAACTAATAGGAGAGTGACTAAATGTTACCAGTTTCAGTAATTCGAGTGACCAAAATTGATATTAAATTTTTCTAGTGACTAAACATGACACGATCTAGTAGTCTTAATGACCAAATGTGGCATTTACCCAACAAAATAGTGATGGCAATTTGAATTTGTTCTAATGTGTATTACTCGATCTGATCTGCACTAGTGTGGGACAGGACATAGTACAACTTATGACATGTCTTGCTTCATCTCCTTCCATTTTTGTCACCTGTGTTATCTTAATTTGTCTAACTATTGCTCTCATTTTAACTTATCTTAACTTATATTTTCACCGACAATACTTAAATATGTGCAAGACTTGATCTTTCAACTAATTAGAATCAATTAGTGTAGCTTTTATCTCCTTTCGATTTATCACTAAAATATAAATATTTTCTTCAAATAATATATAAGAATGGGTCGACCTACCCAGTGGCGTAGCCAGACTTTGAATTGATCGAGTCCTTAAAATTTTCAAAACACTAAAGTATGTGTATCTAATGAACTTTGAGTTGATTGATGTTCTTAGATGAGCTAACATTGACAAGAGTATGTGGTCCTAAATTAGAATGATCATACTAAACCTTGCATATCTAAAGGGTTTTGTTGCCCCGTTTTTCCGCAAGTGGGATCCTAGGACCCCTCTTCTCTAAATGTGGCTATGCCACTGGACCTACTACGATCCCTACTCGCGGGTATTATCTGACATGACCAGTGATTGGTGTGGGGAAAATATGGGTATTGAGGTACCCCCCCAATGCCATCAATGGCGTACCCATCATTTTTATATATGGTCGTTTTTTTTAAAAAAATAATAATAAATTAAAAAGAAAAAAAATATCCGACTAGTACAAATTACAAAAAAGTCCATGATGTATTATCATATTGGAAATAATTGTCAAATACACTCACTGTCTACAATATTCAACAAATCTCTTTCAATATATCCTACTAGACAATCATTCACGAACTGATCACTTATTTGATTTCGAAACCTTTTTTTGTTGTAACCCAAGGCTCAAAAAGCTCTATTATCGGTTCCTTTTAACCCATAAAGTAACTCGTCATTTTTAACACAATGATAATAATTCTTAAAATCATGTTTAAGAAAAGAATCATAAAAGTGACCAAGTTTTTAACATTCTAAACGCTCAAGTAGAAGAAGAAAGAAAAAAGAGTCACGACCCTTAAAAAATACCAATATTATTATTGACAGAAAAAATAACAAAAAGGGAGAGGATTCAATTACAGAAACAAAAGTCGAGCCAGACTAAGACGACATAGTTTCATACAAAAACTATTGGGGTACCACTAAAGGGGCCCAAAGGAGGGCCCAAAAGAGAGCTCATTCAGTTAAAGGCAGCCCTAGGCAATTATCCAGGAGAAGAAGCCCACAAATGGGCCCGCGAAGCCCACTCCCTACCAGGCAGATTAGGCATGAAGACAAAGCACTAAAGGTCAAAGAAGTCCAGGCTGGCAAGTGGTCCCCCCCCCCCCTGTAGGCGCCTGCCAGTCGTCAGAAGCCTGACAAGGTGGTTGAGGCTTCTGACGGGAATGTAGGTACAAAGCATTAAATGCACGATGACGTGGAGGAGATCCATCTCGAGCTCGGTGAGTATAAATAAGGGCAGTTGGTAGCATTTACACAGGTTGGAATCTCTCACTAAAACTCATCTCAAAGCACTTCTCTCTCTAGGAAGAAACTGACTTGATCGTCGGAGAGCTAACGGGCCCAGGCGCCCCCTCTGTGTTCGTGTGTGTAGGCAGGCGCCAAGTATTGTGGACGTGGACTTGGAGACGAGGCGTCAAGACTTAAACAAAATAAAACTAAAAACTATATGATAAATAACAAAAACTCTTAATGTTTAGAATGTTATGTCACTCCCTTGACAATGTCGCATGAATACATTCATGATGAGAGTGGATCCGATTTGGTTTGGCTACCTCCACCCTTTCAACAAAATCTATCTAAGCCGGTCGAGCACGTTTCACTCTTCTAGCTAGGGATGGCAATGGGGAGGGTTTGGGGCGGGTTTGTCTAAATCATCCACATCCCCATCTTCAAATATCCAAACCCATACCCGCCTCATACCCATGCAGGGGAATGTTTGGCAAACCCATCCCCATACCCGTGGATTTCGGGTACCCATGGGTAATACCCGTACCCGTACATACAACATTATTATTCTAAAATTTACAAGAAAAGTTTTAACTACAACTCTAAACGTACCTATTATATCACGAATTCAACAAAACACGATCATTTTCTTAATACGGTTCAAAGAATATGATCCTAAAACATTCGTTAATACATAACATAGAGTATAATATTTTTCAAATTATTATGTTCTAACTCTGATACATCTACTAAGTAATAATTAACTAACATAATCTTGTTGACAAGGGGGAAAGTGAAAGAGTGAAAGGAGAATTGAGGAAAATGAATTACGTTTTGATTAAGGTGGTGACTCAATTGCATTTCTACTATTCATTTCCTCGAGTTATCCTCATCATCATTGATAGATTACAATTTGATCCACATATTTTTGAATATGTGAAGAAATTCTTTTGGTGAGGCGGATATGGGTATGGGTATGGGGCGGGGAGGCTAAAACCATACCCGCCCCATACCTATCAAATTTTTTGCGGGTTTTACCCATACCCGCCCCATACCCGGTCAAAGCGGGGATTACCAGCGTTGACTGGGTCGGGGGCGGTCGGATACCCGCGACCATGGGTGTGATTGTCATCCCTACTTCTAGCTCCTCGATGATAATATATGAATCCTAGTTGAAGCCTCAGAGGACTGCACCATAATCGCCTTTTCCCTTAATTTTACTGTCCGAGACTTGTTTTTGTGCGAGCAAAAGGAAAGGACGCTATTGAATTCGTTGATAAATAATCTATGGGAATAATACTATTCATCTAGAGTTATCAAAACAAGGCCAAAAGTATATGTCAAAGTGGGGAACAGATCAAGTCAGTAATCTTATGGTGAGTAACTATGAGTAACTCGCCCACATCAGCATGACATCAGCATCCTCTCTCTTCTGGAAAGCCTTTAATTTTCTCCTACTTAATCTTTGACGGACGATTTCTCACTCGTTTTAAGTCAAAATTTAATTTTTTTTGCACAGTTATATCAGATTAATTGTGCTCTTCAAAATGATATCCACTTTGATATATTTTTCGAACAAAAAAAATTGAGTCATTTTTTACCAGTCTATACCATATGATATTGACTGGTATTGAAATAAGAGCATACATATGGTTTAAAAAGCGTACCATGGCGGTATGACACAAACCAAAACTGTGGGATGATTGAATACATGATAGTAGAAGTATATTAATTGTCATTTACGACTTTTAACATTGTATACCATAAGATACCACCCCGTACCAGGGTGGTATTGTATGGTATTGTGTGGTATTTTTTTGTCTTGTAATTTGTTCAGCCAAAAATTTGTATATCCAATAGATCATGATGAACTCGTCCCTGCTATGCAAGCGTTTTCAAAAACGAAGAAGATACCATATGGTATGCAGTTGGTACCGAGAGACCAAAATTTATTTTTCTAAAAAAATATTGAAAATTGATCTCATTTTGTAGAGCACGATGAACTCGTTCCATTTGTGCAAAAAAAATTAAAACCCGAGTTAAAACGAAACAAATATGAGTCAATTAAGAAAACTAAAGAAAATAAAAATGACATTTAATTCTCCATCCTTAGATCTATATTTTCTAAATGAAGAGTTGAGATTTGGTTATTGAGGGGTGCATAACCCATGGTTATGCACCCTAACTTTAGCCGTCAAAGTGTCTTCAAAATTGAATAAAAAATGTCGGGCTTTTTTCCTTATAAAGGGGTTATTTGGAAAGTACAAGTTTAAGTGAGTGATTATATGAATAAAAATGCCCGCATTTGAATAAGGTTTTAGAATTACAAGTGACTAGAATCATTAATTTCAAAATCTCTAAAAAAAAGTGAGATTCTCTTCTTTTACTTTTATAGGTGATTTTTCTACTCTTATTCCTATTATTTTTTTATATACTTGACATACACCCCTCCTTAAATTAATATATAATAACAATGGCAATGTTATGTAACCATTTAAGTTAGAATTATTTTTTCCTTCACAATCACAAATACCATTCTTACAATCATCCATATCTTACCATTAATATATTTGTAATACATGCATTCCAAGACAAGAATACACATATTCATATACTCTCAACTTCAAAACGATCCAAAGATAACTAGGTATTGGGAATAAGATGGAGATTTCTCACCATTGTCGTCATTCTCAGTAGGAGGATCAGCGTTCTAGGGGATGATTCTGGAAGCTGAATTACTATTTGTCGTCCTAAAAAAATTATATGTAGTTTTAATATATTTAAATTTACACTAATACCCCTCACAAAAATTCTCATGTGTCACGTCATCAGCCATGGGCGAAACACATATTTCATATTTCATATGTCTCCGGCCATCTCTTCGTCGGTAATGATTGGCTTGGACGATGACGATGGTAGGCGGCGACAATGACAATGGTTGGCAGCGGTTGGGGTCTCCAACGAGTAATCTTTGGTTGTCGTCGCCGACGACTCGTCTTTGGTGAATTTGGTCACCTCAGATGGTTGGGATGTCGAGGGATTTAGGATTTATGAAAATTTGTAGAAAAAATAAAATTGTGCATTTTTAAATTTGGGGCTACAAATGAATCCATTATAGGGCTACAAATAGCACATGAGCTGTCAAAATTGAATTCAACCCGACTAACTAGCCCAACCACCCGACATACAACCCGTCCGTAACCTGATTTGACAAAAAGTCAACCACCCGAAGCTCGCCCGTAACCCGAAACCAATTGACCCGTAATCCGATCTACCCATAACTCGATGAACTCGTTATCTGATCCAACCCATAACCCGACCCATCTATAACCCGAATGATTCATAACTCAAATAACTCGTAACCGAACCGAACCCAACTCGAATAACTCGAATAACCCATTTGACACGAATGCTTGTACAAAAATTCAATGTATACATTATTATATTTTTAAATTTACCAAGAAAGAACGGTTGTTCTCATAATAATTGAAAATTATTAGTAGAATTGATGGTAAATTGAGATTTTTTCTTTAATATTTAATTTTTAAAATAATAATATGTGAAATATCTCTTCATTCATTTTTTATTTTATGAAATTCAAAGGATAAATTTTGAAGATAATATGAAGAGTTAGACACAAATTCGTATCTCCACCACCCATAACTATATTAAAAAATCAACCCTTGAAAATCAATGAAATCAATGATCCCTATCAAGATATATAAGTGGATAGTTTACTCTTTTACTTCATTCTCAACTTTTTACTGATTTTATTTATTTTTTATAAATTAATAAATCGACGATTCGAACTAGATTTCATATTTGAGCGAACCGTTGTTCGACCCATGCGTTTTAGGATGAGATGTTACCGTGAATATATAAAAATTGTGAAGATATATAAGTGGGTGATTCGGAATGATGTTCATAAGTCTTCGTGGAAATGAAGAGACACACATCTAGTTCATACTATATTTAATTAAGACGATTCATTTCGAGATGTATAAGCATATAGTCTGCATTTTTTACTTCATTCTCAAATTTTTACTGATTCAATTTTTTATAAATTAATAAAATAAGTGAAGTTAAAATCTCTCACCATAAACAAAAAAAATTATAACCAACACCAAAGCTTTTATATACACTATTTTATTTATATTTAGTTTTTATACTAACATAATGGATATTTTATTTGTATATGTACAATATTATCATATTATCATTTTCTTTAATTTTGTATCATTACCTACAATTTATATTCATATATTGATAGTTTGTAAAACATTATTTCCTATCAAGAAGTAAATGATCCAATGGGTTGACCCGAATAACCCATAATCTGACCTGACCGAACCCGAATTAACCCGCAATCCTATAAACCCATAATTCGATGCACCCGTAACCCGACCCGATTCGTAACACAATTGCCCAGTGACCTGATTGACTCGTAACCCAATTGACATGCAACCCAATTAAACCCGATCCAAATTGAAACCGACCCAATTGAACTCGCAATCCAATTAAACCCAACCCGATTAGACCCAACCCAAACTCGACCCAACCCGTCCAATTGACACGTTGCTAAATTCTTAATTTCTTTCAACAAACCAACCCAAACTCGACCCAACCCGTCCAATTGACACGTTGCTAAATTCTTAATTTCTTTCAACAAAAATGGTGGCTTGGAGAAAGCAGAGAGGAGATTGTGTCAACAGTTGTCACCACGTCGACGAGAAAATAAAAAACGAAATTGGGAAGATTTGTCGTAGAAGGTGGAGTTTTTTTCCATTCGGGGAGAAGGGATCTCGTGTATACTACTGTCTATGGCGGGCGAGGGAGAGGAGAGGAGAGGAATTGGGCCGGGTGGATTATTTTTTTGGGAAGGTCATGGTACATTGTCTGGCTATGGATGGGCCAAGGGCCCAAGGCCAAAGCCCAACTGTATTGGTTTGGGTAGTGGTAAGTGCTGGGTCAAGTTGGGTGCCAACAAGCAGGTGGAATAACGTGGCATATCTAGGTGGAATGGTGACAAGGCACAATTAACGGAAAGGCAAACAGAGTTAGGGACAATGACCAAATTGTTACGGATCGACAAAGTTAAGCAACCATTTTGTTACACTTCGAAGCTCAGTGACGATTAGGTTACATTCTACATAGTTTAGTGACCATTTAAGTAATTACCCCGGTGATTCACCCTATAAATGCTAGTCGTCTAGTTAACTGTGCAAAACAGAAAAAGGCTCAACAGCATAGAAAGAAAGTTACCCAAAATTACTTCGTTCTCCTACAAGTCTACAACTCTTTCTTCTTCTTTACCTGAATTCTTTCCCACCACCAAGAGCGAGCTCGCTTTCTTCTTCCATGGAAAATGCAGCAGCAGCTGATCAACCACCCGCTTGGGCACGCTGCAACGAGTGCGGCAGCAATTCCAAGACTTTCACCAGTCTCGCCCAAAAGAAGGAACATTGGAAATCATCTCACAAGAGCCAGTGCCCGTACAAATGTAAAACCTGCGTGGATTGCTTTCCCCGAGAGCAGGACCTGGCCATTCACATGGTCCAGGTTCACAACGGGTGAGCCGCCGTCCGCCGCCGCCGCCATGAAGGCGGAGTTCTCGTGGAACGCAGAACTCCGGCGTAAGTTTCCGTTCTCACTCTCCTCCTACTTTCTTGCGGTTGCCTCCCACGTCGATTTGCGTTCTCGAAATTAGGTTACAACAATCTTTTGACATTTTGTGGGAATTTCTTGATCTCCAGCTGATCTTGTTTCATGGAGGTACGGCAAAATCAAGATCACCGCTGAAGGGCTTGGGGTAAATGCGGTTGATTTTCTTTACTTTGTTCTGAATTCCGTTTGGGGGCGGCTGAATGACTGCCTGATTCTGCTTTCTTGATGTTATAGCGATCTTGAAATAATTCAGTTTGACGTGTATTGCATTACAGGGTTATGGATTGAATCACGGGCAACTGGAGCATTGCTTTCCATATGCCACTGAATGCAAAGATTCTCCATCAGCAGGTCGTGGGGTAGCTGTGACCAAGTTGGAAGTTACACCTCAGTTGGACTACCATCAGTTTGATCTGCCTCGAAACTTTGACCAAAGCTTCCATATTGGCTTCAATGGTATGAATCTATGTGGTGAAGAGAATCTTGCTAGTAGCTATCTTCTAGTTCTAGGTATATGCCCTCCACCTTCAGCCTTCTTAGGCCCAAAGTGTGCACTCTGGGATTGTGCTCGACCAGCACAGGGAGGGTTGGACTTTTGGCAGGTCTACTGCAGTAGGTTTCATCATGACCTAGCCCTGGATAAAGGCCTCCCAGGAATTGGCCCTGTTCTTAGGCCAGGAGGCATCGGCCTGAAAGATGGGCTTCTCTTTGCTGCTCTTCGTGCAAAGGCTGAGGGAAGTGATGTCGGTGTCCTCGAAGGAGCAGCAACTACAAAGTCTCCTTGGAATGCTCCTGGTAAGTTTAGATGAAGCTCTCTCTTTACTTTTACAGCTTTGTTTACTGAAGCAAGTACTTTGTGGTAAATGGGTTGGGTTGCTGGAATTCTCTTGAAAATTTGATGTGCTTTGGAGGGTACTTAGATGGGTCCCAAGTGGTTTGGTTAAGCTGATTTTTGCCACCTCTAGCTGAGACGTTTCATTTGACATCATGGATTATCATGATCACTCTGTTATTTTGACTGACCCAAGAAGGCTTTTCTTTTCTGTACTCTGCAGACCTCTTTGATCTTTCGGTCCTTGATGGCGAGACAATCAGGGAATGGCTCTTCTTTGACAAGCCACGTCGAGCATTCGAGAGCGGCAACAGTAAGCAAAGGTCGATTCCTGATTACAGTGGGCGTGGATGGCATGAGTCGAGGAAGCGATTCATGAACGAATTTGGAGGACTGAAAAGATCATATTACATGGACCCACAACCACTGAACAACTTCGAGTGGCATCTGTACGAGTACGAGATCAACAACCGTGATGTCTGTGCCTTGTATAGATTGGAACTAATGGGCCCTGTTCTTAGGCCAGGAGGCATTGGCTTGAAAGATGGCCTTCTCTTTGCTGCTGTGGGTGCGAAGGCTGAGGAAAAATTTAACGGTGTCCCAGAATGGAGGGAGCTGCAACCACAAAGTCTCCTTGGAATGCTCCTGGTAAGTTTAGATGAAGCTCTTCTTGATTGAAGTATTACCTCCTACCTACATGTGGCAGATAGGTTAGGTTGGTGGCATTCTCTTGAAAATTTGATGTGCTTTGGAGGGTATTGTCTTAGAAGTTTGGATATTGAACTGTGAAATGACAGGTGAATTAGTTTGTTAGTAGCTGTCGTAAAATGCTTTTTTGGACTGAGTTGGCAAAAGTTCGTTTTGAATCCTAGACCTGTTTGTAAAATTCTGAAGCAAATTAGGTACTGAAATCTAAGGCCCATAAATATTCAGGTACTAGAATCTAAGTCGACTCAGAATTCTTTGTTAATATATGGATGTTTTAGGTACTAAAATATGCAAGGAAAACATTCAGGTTCTTGTAAAACCATTGACTCAACCTATTCGCCCACCAATGGATTTTGTGGGAGAAATGGTTTGTGAGTTAGATGGGTTTCAGTATTTGCCACCTCTAGCAGATTATCACAATCACTCTGTTATCTTGGATGACCCAATAATGCTTTTCTTTTCTACTAAAAATGATGATAATCTTTGCTTTTGACAGAGTTTATGTTGCTGTCCACAGAGAGCTTCACTGACAACAGGTCTTGCATGCATCTAGAGTTTGACATTTCCGGCTCTCCTATTCAGTAAGTTTCACTTACACATTTTCTGATACTGTATGAATAATGCACCTTTGATTCTCTTCATGTATGAGTTTAGATGAATCAGATTGCTAACATATAATGTGCTGCACCTTTGGCATAGGCTTTTCGCATTGGTGTTGGTGAATCAGATTGCTAAAAAGTGTGCTAATCTGCTTGTGAGAGTATTAATTCCTTCTTGTTCTTCTTCTTCAAACCTTCAGGGATGCCAGATTGATTAGGAGGGACGTTGCAGATGGTGAGACGGTCTGCTGCAATGTTGTATTCTTTACTAGTTGAGCAACCCGGCCGGGGAACTTGATCCTGTGATCTGATATTGAATTCTTTACTAGTTCCGAACATGTTGATGATTGCTGTAAATGAAACCTGCTGATGATGTATAGGAGTCATGATGGTGTTTTTCTGCAAAATCTTTACTGTCTCATTTCCTGTAGCTGTGTTGATTATCTTTGTTTTTAGTTATCCAATCTCGATCCTTTGGCTGTAGAAACTTCACAGCAGACTGGGCTTGATAGTTTGAGATAGACGGGCTGAACTGTGGGCCTCACTGGGCTTTAAATTTGATAGATGAATTGTTAATTGTTTGAAGTTCAGTTTAAAAGAAAAAGAAAAAATACTTAGCAAGAAAGAAAGCATCCATCAATCTAATACTGACATTCTGCTCTTTTTACAAGTCAATTTTCCAACCACCTGTTTCATAATGCGCATCCAAAATCATTCATATCTTATCTCAGGGAATGAAGGCATCAATTATTCCAGCCACGGTTTATGATTTGCAGGGGAGAACCAAAACTACCACATTGATGCGTCTCATTGTATGACTCTCTGCAGAGAATCTCAAAGAATAAAAAGGAAGAAGCTTTCTTTGCACTGTATTAAGCTGGTTTGGTTGTTTTCTCCTGTTCGTTACTCGAGTGTTTCAAGTGAAAAATGCCGCTGAGTCCTCTACTTCTGGCAAGTTGCTCGATTTCATCCATCTTTCGTTTCAGGGACTCCACTTCTTTTGCCAAGTCTTCATCTCTCTGTCTCATTGCCTAGCACAGTGAATAACAGTGAGTATCTTGGTCAAAATAGAAATACTTCAGCTTGAAGTTTACAGGTCATTGTTATTTCAACTTATCAGCAAATATCAATCAAAGGTTACAAAAGCAGATTGATTGGAACTTGGGTTAGCATCGATCACGCAAAGAGAAAACCTAAAATCTATGGAGGACATGCCTGGTCTAAGATCAGAAAGGCATTAGGGGATGGGTGGTGAGCGTTGACATAGTACAAAAGTAGCTGCAAGCCTGCAACATTGTAATTCATTCTGGTTGGACCATAAAGTTATAGGGGGTTGGCATTCTGATAATTTATTCCATCTAGACAAGGTGTCCCTCCAAGATAACCAATCACGAGCTAAACCCAGCTCTCCAGGAGAAAGAAGTGGTGTCATACACTAACCCACCATGTCCTCTAGCCTAGTAAGCCTACTGAGCAGTGGAATAGTGCTATAACTTCAAGAGAGTTAGAAAGACACCAGTACACAAATGCTGTACTGGACTCTTTCCAGGCCGGGAATCTAAGCTCTTCCTTCTTCTTTCTATATTTTATCTAGCTCGTGTAGCCAATGACAGTGCTCTTTCCAACTTACTACATCGATTGTGATTATCCTAGTTTCCCTTCGAGGACAGATGATAACCAAAACTTAAATCCCCTATGAGATACATCAATTAACTCTATTCATTTTCAACCATGAACTACCAAGATAGTTTTGCTACTTAAACCAAAAAAGGTGGATGGAGACATGGAATTGTGGAAACTGAGACAAATAGTATACACTAATGTGCATTAGCCTAAAAGAGAAAATGCAAGCAGATCGATTTCGAATAAGTACCTCTAGTACTTGCAATCTTGCTGCTTCTTTTCGAGCCTCTGATTTAGCACTTCTCTGTACCTCAAATACAACAACAACACCTGCTACCTGAGCAAGACAAAAAGACCATGCATCAGAATTGTCCAAACAACCTGTTTCGATATAGACAGCCATTACAAGGAACAAACTGCATAGTCTCTTACTTCCAACACCAGATTGCAGCTACTTGTAACTAAAGTTTACAGGTTTACAAGGACCACACTAGACCAAAACACAAAGCTGAGAACACAGAGAAAGTTCCTGTCAGCTTTCAATGATTAGAGGATAATAACACCATTTGGCATAAAGTGCCTAACAGGGGTTTCCCACACAAGTTTTCTCACCATCAAACAAACATACATAAAGAAAGCTTCATGGGACGAGAAACACAAGGCTAAGTATCTTCACTGTGCACAAATTGGCTGCTGGTTGCTATTGGCAAACTTAACAATTCAAACTTCTCCCTATTCCAGCCCACTGAGGGCGACAGATAAACATTCACGGATTCACCAATTCACATATCACACGAATCAAAGCTCTAAACCTACTAGAGCGAATCAAACGGAAAGATTGAAAATCAAAGACAGAACACCAACCGTGAAAACGAATAACTCGCCGATGAGATCGACGGCGGCCTGGACGGCTTTCTCCTCGTTCAGCGGCCGAATCTCTGCTTCAGTGGCGTGGCTGTAGATCCGCCGTTGCATCCTCGTCGAGATTCGGTGATTAAACTGATCACCCGATTTTCCACAAAGTTAAGCCCAAAGGGGAGAAAACAAAATTGAAGAGAAAACCAAATGGCGGGTTCAACGCTAACCTGCGCCATGCTGACGATGATCTGGCGGAACTTAGGGTGGTAAGCAGCCTGCTGCTTGAGCTTACTGGCCAGCGGCTTGCTGAGCGTCTTGACGGCCAAGGTCCCGAGCTTTAGCAATGGCAGCACCATTCCGACTTTTCAATAAACCACTTTCGGCGACGAGACGACCAAATGAAATAGGAAAATCGGCTAATTGGATGACATTTCTAGGTTTACGCGGCGGAGGGAAATCGGAGGTGCAGCTTCAGGCGGGTCGCGGGCTCCATTTTGATGAAGATTTTGCTTGATGAAGAAGGCGGAAATGAGATGGGGCCAAAGAATCACGGTGACCGCTGACCGGCGAATAATAATCAGATCTCCGGTTGCGCGTAAAAGAATAATAATCTAGTGGAAAATGCGAATGTAGGAAACTGATGAGAGTTGAGACTGGAAATCGGGCCGGGTTCAACAATCTGGCCCATTCAATTTGAATTCACTGAATTTTATATTGGGCTTGGATCGAGTATTGGAATGAGAATAATTGAGCTGGGCTTTAGTGGGCCGTACGCGGTAAGCCCAAATTTCAAACTATCCATTTCGGTTTTGGCGCGTCCGGCTCCCTTTCACCTCCCGCTCTCTCCGAATCTCGAAATTTGAAATTCTGGAACCTCCCCCTACCACGTCATCGATCCGCGTCAATTTTTCAAGGTTCAATAACAGCCGTCGATAACAAATTTTGGGAAGCAATCTAATCCATTCACCATTCCACGTCAGCAATCCATAACTTAAAACCATTTCCCACCGTAGATTACTACACTCAATCCAACGGCCGCGATCTCTTCCCCATCAAAATAAATACACTTCTTCTTCTTCTTCCGATTCACATCAGTCAATTTCTCACTCTCTCAGATCTCCAGCAATCCAAAATCTCGAATTCCTTCGCTAATTGCAATAATGGCGCGCACCAAGCAAACCGCTCGCAAGTCCACCGGAGGCAAGGCGCCGAGGAAGCAGCTGGCGACCAAGGCGGCAAGGAAGTCGGCTCCGGCGACCGGCGGAGTGAAGAAACCGCACAGGTTCAGGCCCGGAACCGTCGCCCTCCGCGAGATCCGGAAGTACCAGAAGAGCACGGAGCTGTTGATCCGCAAGCTGCCGTTCCAGCGCCTGGTTCGGGAGATAGCCCAGGATTTCAAGACGGATCTCAGGTTCCAGAGCTCCGCCGTGTCTGCTCTCCAGGAAGCCGCCGAGGCTTATCTCGTCGGTCTTTTCGAGGACACCAACCTCTGCGCCATTCATGCGAAGAGGGTTACCATTATGCCCAAGGACATTCAGCTCGCCAGAAGGATTAGGGGCGAGCGTGCTTGATTTGTGTTGTGAAAACTGTAATAGTATAGCTGAATGTTTCAGACTCCAGTAGCGTTCTTGGTTGTGGACTTGTGGTAGATTTGTTCTTCCTTAACTTTGCATTCTGGATGCACAATGTAGTGACCTGTCTTTGTTGATGGGTTAATGGAAAAGTTTGTTACTGTTCATGAATCTGATTCCAAATGCAACTCTTTTCTGCTTTGTCTCACTCTGATTCCACGCTTTGTCTCCCTTTGCTTTTCAAGGACGTTTGTGTGTGGAATTCTTTTATGTAAAATTCGTTACATCCATTCATATAAATTGATCGGCGGACTGTGGTTGAATATGGTGGCTTTAAAAGGCTTGAATTGCACTCTGAATCTCAAACCAATAGGGTAGCTTATTCAGTAGCTAGAAATGCCCTCTCTTTGTACTCGTCTGTAAATCGTTCTTTTGATTTCAGGACCTGGCTGTTATCCAGGATGTAACTATCTCTTTGTTTCGATTAATATATCTTATCTTTTGACAAAAAAAAAAAGAATGTTACCAAATAATAAACATTTTAAAATCTATTTTCAACCATTCAAAGAGTTAGAATCTATATATAGTTGACAATTTATAGATTTTAAACTCATATTTTCCAAACGATATCTATGTCATCCTAACTCCAAAGTCCAACTAGGTAATAGACAAAAAGCCCAATGCGTTAATTAGGTTCAACGTGGGTAACCAAAGAATAACCGGGAAACCAAAACTTTCGGTTCTTAGGTAAATCCGCGTTTGGTTGACCAAACCCGAATCGAACTGGAGCCTTATTTGTCTCCACCATTTGCTTCAACTTGCCATCTACAGTGTGATGATAAGGGGCAGACGCGAGCCAATACATGTGGGGGACAAAGACAAAAAAAAATTGAGGACACACAAAGCAATCACTTCTACTTCTACAGTCTACTAAAAAGCTCAGTTCCCTTTTCCTTCCACCATTTCTCTCAATCATGAACAATCCAGCGGCAGAGTTGCTCCAAGCTCAAACCCACATCTACAACCACGTCTTCAGCTTCATCAACTCAATGGCGCTCAAGTCGGCCGTCGAGCTCGGAATTCCCGACGCCATCCACACCCACGGCAACAACAGACCCATGCCTCTCACCGAACTCGCGGCTGCCCTCGGAATCGAACCGGAGAGGAAGACCTACCTGCACCGCCTGATGCGCCTTCTCGTCCACTCGGGCTTCTTCTTCGCCGTCGGCGAAGAAGAACCGGCGTATGCGTTAACGCCTTCTTCAAAGTTGCTTGTGAAGGACAACCCGAACTGCCTGTCGTCGTTTGTGAAGCTGGTGCCACGGCCCGAGTACGTGACGCCATGCTACGTGGTGGGAGGTTGGATTAAGGGCGGCGGAGACAAACGTGCAGCCGAGATTTCGTTTAAGGTGGGTCTTAAGTAAAAAAAAAAATATATAGGTTAATTTTTATTACTTTTCTCTTTAATACGATGTGTTTTCATACTCTGTAATGTTTTAAAATGCATCTATCATATTCCAAACTGGAAAAAACGTAATCGTGATATATACACTCAAAACTCATTCATAAGTTTGACGATAATGTAAAGGACATGGTATTTAACGTGGGGCAAAATTTATTAGGTTATTCGGCAACGACTAACCTTCCATATATATATATATGGTTCAGGCTAGCGTACGCCTGGCGTACGTTATACACTTGTGTTCACACCTATTAATTATTTTTAATTAATTATAATTAAATTAATAATTATAATTACAACCATACCTATTGATTTATTTTTCAATACTATTTAGTCCTACGAGTTAACTTCAAATTAACGAACATCCCAATTCGACTTTGCAATTAGCCCAACCTAATATCACAAAGTAATTAAAACAAAATCAAAACAACATAACCTTTCCTTATGCTATTTTTTCCGGTTCGGAACCTCTCCTACAGATATATTTAGCATAGACACCATTAACAGCTTGAACAGAGCAAACAAACCCAGAAACTTAAAAACTAAAATTAATTCAATCTTAGTAGATTTTAACACCGCAGAAGTCGATGGACGATTTGATAACCCTTCCTTCTCCTTTTCACCTCTTAGACAAACTCCCCTGCAAACTTTAACACAAAACAGAGCAAGACTAGAGACAAGAAATAAGTGAGAGTTGAAGATCCATACATGTTTTGTTGCATAGAAATAAGCTTTGTACAACACTGATGAAATTCAGGTCGTGAAATTTCGAAAAGAAGATACATGATACTAAGTGAGAGGTAGGGCTGGGCATGCGGGCGGATCATCCGCGGGTTTGGGCCGACCCACCCGCATTTGACCCGAATTTCGTTAAGTGGGTGGGTCTATGGATGGGTGACGGGTTGTGCTGGGAGCCATCCGCCGGGTGGTGGGTGGGTTGTGGGTGGATGCGCGGGTGACCCGCTCAACCCAACAACAAAAAGATCAAAGTCGTCGGCGCTAGAGAGGGGAGAGTGGAGATGTTAGACATAAACTAGGACTGCTCCTGGAGTTTGAACCTCAAAGCCAACCTTCCAAATAGCGATCCCCTCTTCTTCCCTTTATTTTTCCCTCTAATTCTTGTGCCTAGATCACTGCTTTTTCCTTTGTGAAATTATTTTTCTTAGTTCCTTGCACCTGATAATCATCTCAATCCGTAGAAAACTCTTTCATAATAGAATTTCTATCCATTTTAAGAACTAATTCGATATTTTTCGCCCTATTTCATCTTCTTGTTTCCCCAGATAACTCTCTTCACCTATTATCATGTCAAGTTGACTCCTTTATATTATATACATTGTGATGTGGGTGAACCCACAAACCCACCCAAATCATCCACCATCCGCCCGACCCAACCCGAGACTAAATGTGGGTGGGTGGTGGGTTAAAAATTATCAATCCGTTTAAGCGCGGATGGGTGCATTTTATGGTCAAAATCCACCCGACCCACCCAATGCCCACCCCTAGTGAGAGGTGCATATTCATACATGTTTTGTTGCAAGAACAGGGCAAATGCGCAAGGAGGTGGGGGTGGGCTGAAAGACATATGATATGATACTAAGAATTTGGAATTGACCTTTGGTCCAAAATGGGAATAAGGACAACAAAGTATAATTATTACATACTCAGAAGAAGATGCTACGGCTGAAAAAATCACAGTCGTAGACACGGAGACGTCGCCTTCTTGAATCATCGGTAGAGACGCGTCGGAGTCTCGGAGAGTTGGAATCGTCATCGTGCCGATGCAGCCCACCGGTACCTGCTGTGGTCGTACAGTCGTCGCTGGAGGAGGGATTTGAGTCAGCGTTCTTGGGACGTCGTGGGAGGCTCATCGCTTCACCAAGGTGGATACGATTGCTCTATGGCGGATAGGTATTTGATTATCATTGGATTAAAGTTTGAGTTACTCTTTTGACAAATTGGATGGAAGGTTATAAATAGTAATTTGGGTGTTTGAATCGTAACTGGAAGAATGAAAGTTTATGTAATGGTTTGTTAGATGATTGATTTAAGTATGATGTAGGATACAATTTTTTGTGTGATTAGAACGTACACAAAAATATTTTAGTGGGTATGGTTGTAATTATAATTTACAATTAATTTAATTAAAAATTAAAATTAATTTTATCAGTGTGAACACAAGCGTATAGTGTACGGCAGGTGTACGCTAGCCTTTGCCATATATATATACACACGCCCATAATCAACTAGGGTTAAAATTTGTTACAAAACATATATGGAAAACAAGTACAATAAGGAAACGATTTGCTTGTTGCTAAGGTTCAAGAAAGCGCTAGACATAAGGCGAGCGATGAGACTTTGCCTTGTGCCTAGCATGTCGCCTAGGCGTGCCTAAACGTTAGATGTAAACAGTATTAAAATATCTCACGCTTGCCTAGAATCACAAGTCTATGAACCAATGTCATTGCATCTAACTCTCATTTATAAACTTTTTTCTAGATCAATAACAAATGGTAAAACATAAAACATAATGCGGAGAAGTGAGTAAGAAAGAAGAAGTTTTAAAATCGCAAAGCAAATTGAGAGCGAAAAAGAGAAAAAATAAACTAAAGCTATATCCTAGCCTAACTCTAGAGAAATATATGAAGATCGTCCTCCCTAGTAGCCTATCAAAAGGTTAAAAAATAAAAGTCATTGTGACCTCATTTTGAGAAGCAACCCAATACTAACTAGACGTCATTACGTGATCGTGAAGCCTTTCCCTGCTGCTTTTTGCCAAGACGAGGCGTTTTTCTTCCGGACTTGCGCCTAGACAGGATTAGGCAAGTGCTTAGACGTAATTTATAGAACCATGCTTGTTGCCCACCTGCTGAAGCAGCATGCGGAGTGGTATGTGTAGCTGGACGTTGCTCCTCTCTCGACCCAAAACAGACACTGAAAGTCAATACGTCAATGAAAAACCTAAATAAGTCGGTAAGTAAAAACTAGGCCCAAAAAATTTAGCTGTAATAATAATAATTCAATTAATACATAAAAGCAGAAAATTAAATGTTAAAGGTTTAGATTATACTCCGGCAACATCACATCCTAATCCGTTATATTCTTTATCCTCGCCAGCCAGACCAAGGTGGTGGTGCCAACAACAACTCATCCCGGCAAGAAGGTGGAGATGCTACGGCGTCGTCGTCGGCATTCGAGAGAGCATACGGGATGCCGTTTTGGGAGTACACGGATCGAAACGCGGGATTCAACGCCCTCTTCAACGACGCCATGGCTGAGGATTCAGGGATGATGAACTTGGTCGTGGGAGATTGCTGCGGGGCGGTTTTTCGAGGAGTCGAGTCGCTCGTTGATGTTGGCGGAGGGACGGGGACATTCGCCCGGATTATAGTGGCGGCGTTCCCCGGTATTCGGTGTAAGGTTCTGGAGCTCCCTCAGGTCATCGGTCGCCTGGCGTCGGGGAGGAATTCTTCTGGGAAGTTGGAGTTTGTTGAAGGGGATATGTTTCAGTGTGTCCCTTCAGCGGGAGCCGTGTTGCTGAGGGTAAGTTTATTTATGTTACATATATCTTTAGTTTTCAGGGGTTCTACGATACCATAGTGAAATCCAGGGTACCACATACCCTGAATATGAAAACGTTGTTCAGACCATGAATTGACTAATCTCTCGGACATATTAATATTATACTCTAACCTTTAAATATCAAAATCTAGGTGTTAGTTCTCTAAATATAATACTCCAAGATCAATTTAATTAGAATAATAATCGATGGTTATAATTCGTCCAAATAAAGACAAAAAAACGACTGCACCATCTTAGTATTTATAGTTTATAATTTAAATAATTAGGAACTAGGGTTCACTCATTGAGAGTTAGGGTATAGTACCAGGTCCAAAAGGCCTGCTAATTCGAGGTCTAGATAGCATTTTCATACTCAAGGTATGCGGTACCCTAGATTTCACCTGGGGTACCGTAGAAAACACCAGTTTTTAGATATATATTATCAGTATATTTATTAGGGATGGCAATGGGTCAGGTTGGCTCAGGTTTTGCCAAACCCAAACCCAAACTCATGGGTTTATCCGTGAAAAAAATAACCGGTGTAAAACCCACTAGGTTTGAAAAATTCAAACTCAACCCAACCCGCTGGGTATCCGCGGGTTCATGGGTACCCATATGGGTTTTTGTCATAAGAAATTTACAATAACAAGTTCCTACTAAAATAAAAGTCAAATATCAATCTCTCAATACAAATTATCCATATATAAAACACCATTCTAGAAAATTCAAGTAAACTACAAATTAACCATACAAATTGTTCAACACCAATCTAGGAAACTTAAGAAAATTGAAGCAAATCATAAATTATCCATAAACAACATGATTAATTGAAAGCATCTTCCTCCTTGACAATTAAGTTTCCTCACTCTCCACTCGATAATATCAACTTCATTCTACACAATTAGAAAGAAAAAATTAGACATGTATCCACAAACATAAAGAAGATTAGTTGTTTAGAATATTAATTATACCTAGAAAATTAATTATATGGGTGTGGGTGGGCGGGTACCCATGGAGAGGGTTTACCTAAACCCAAACCCAACCCAACCCGGTGAATAGTGAATGGGTTTAAACCCGAACCCGGCCCAAAATCCGTCAACACGGATTTTACCCGCGTTGACCGGGTTGGGTCGGATAGGGTACCCGCGGGTTCGGGTTTTGTTGTCATCCCTTATATTTATACTATGGTGGTAATGTTTGGTACTAAGAAAGATTATATTATGGTGGTATAGAAGTGTATCAAGGTGTAATATATATAGTGTAAAAGAGTTGTGTACAAACCATTATTTATCACCTTTAATTTCATCATCGTCTACCAAGCTATACACCATGATGGTATACGGTGGTATATTTGGTCATGGAATTATGTCGCACATAAATTAGTAGATTCAATAGATCACGATGAACATGTGTCTTTTGTATAATTTTTTTTTCAAAACTTGAGTGGAAATGAAGGTGGTACCAAGGTAGTAACGAGTGATACGGAATTTTTTCCTCGAAATATATTAAGAATGAATATCATTTTGTACCACAACAAACATGTTCCAACTGTGCAATTTTTTTATGAGTTCCAAATTAAAACAAAGAAAACACAAGCCAATTAAAAAATTCAGGTAAAATAAAAGGCTTTTTTATCTCACAGGTTAGATCTTACCCCACTTAAGATTGAGGAAGCAAATCTGGCTACACATAATTAAGTGCATAATAAGGGGTTATTACCTACACCTAACTTAGGTGTTACCTTCTACCCAAAAAAAAAATTAGGTGTTACCATCGATCAAACTTTACCAACTTACAAAAATCACGATTCGTTCAATCGGTTCGATTTGTTGTTGTTGTTGTTGTTATTTATTGTGGTGGTGTTAACTGTTGGTTCAGATGATTTTACACGACTGGAAGGATGAAGAGTGTGTTAAAATCCTGAAGAAATGCAAGGATGCCATTTCGAGCAAAGGGGAGGGAGGAAAGGTGATAATAATCGACATTGTGATGGATGAGAAGAAGGAGGTGGATCATGAATTGGTTCAAACAAAGTTGAATTTTGACATGGTGATGATGTTTATGCTTAATGGAAAGGAGAGGACTGAAAAGGAATGGGAGAGGCTGTTCTTAGAAGCTGGTTTCCAACGCTACAAGATCACTCATTTGTTTGGTTTTAGGTCACTAATTGAGGTTTTCCCTTAGGATGAAACCACATTGATGCTACTGTTTGGTAACCTAATCTTCGATTAATATTACGAATTGTAATAGCTGTATCTCCAACTATACTGAACATCGAGAATGAGCAAATATACTACCGTAATGGATGAACACATAACGAACATTGACGATTTTGGATAGGTAGTATTGTCATAGGCAATAGTGGCTATAAAATACTACCAGTATGCATATACTTTAAATTACAGCAGTACGTATTACTTTACACAGATGATTATTTGATGAGAATGCATCTTGCTGGCGATCCCTCGGCTCCAACCAGCCTCATAGGCAAGCAATGAACGTTGTACAGTCCAGCTTCAACGTCGTCAAGCTTCATACCTTCGACGAGAATGATTTCCTAGAATAACAGAGTTACAAACCACGGTTGGTGCGCTGTTAGTTTCCAATTCTAACAGCAAAACTGTGTCAATTGATGGTCAATAGTGAAAGTAAAATTCTTTTTCTCTTACCCTGCTCTTCAGGAAAGCTAGATGAGTTGGGCGGGCGTTGACGAAGGCAGCAGCAGATAAGTAATCAACTCCTGAGATTTCAAACACCACAGGCGCAAAATTCCTAATCGGTGAGACCATTTCACATCTAATGTTGTAGAATTCAATTGGCAAGTTGAGATTTGGTAGCTAATTCTCGAGGTGTAAAGGATTGGCCCAACTTACCAACAAGTTTGATGTCTGTGTTGTCCACAAGCCACTGTGCCCCATCGGCCATGAACCCGACAAAGCTTGAATCGAACTCCTTCTTGTACATCAAACGCCTGAAACGAAACCCACAACCGCAATTCAGATTCTGTTCACGTGTCATAGTAGGAATGCAAGGGTTTCAACCTTCTTTCATTTTACCTATCGGTATTCAGAGTCCTGAACAACACACGCCTGGTTCCTTTTGGGATTTGCAATGACTTCATAACTTCAGCTGTGGTGGTACAACAGAAGCAAAACTCAGCCCACCAAAACAAAACAAAAGCAAGAAGCTAAAAGTTCATCAGAGAAACTATAGCAAATGGTGGGCTAGCACTTACCAGTAATGTTACTGTCCCTGGGAACATCAACCAACAAGGCTGGACCTGCAAGTAAAATTGGTAACCAAATCCACACTCGGTTAAACCCTATTAAAATTCCACAGCACCACCACAAATCTGAGTACCCATTACCCATAACCCAATCCAAGACCCAACCAAAGTAAGAAACAGGGGGGGGAATACAAAATTGGACCGTTCTCCCGAACTCACAGTTGGAAGCGGCATTTCATCAAACACATGATGAGCAATACTAAAAAACGGCGAGAGACAGAGAATTTGATTGTACCGTTGAGGACGTCAAGGTCAAGGGACTCGAGGGTGTAGCCGGCCTCGTAGTACTCCTGGTAGAAATGTCCCGGCGTGTCGACGTGGGTACCCGTGTGTGTCCCCATCCGGTTGATCTCCCCTTCGTTCCACGTCGAGCCGTTCTTCATGCTCTGCACCAGCGTCACCAATTGACCCACCCCGCCGGCCGATCCGAACTTGGGCAGGTCGGGTTTCACCCGGTGGGTGATGTCGAACAGCCGCCCGTTTCCGTACACCTCCCTCACCACCGCCGCCGGCAACCCGCCGCTCGCCGGAGACGGAGACCGAGCCCCGTCGGCCGTTACAAGGAGGAGGAGGAGAAGGCCGATTTCCTTCATGTTCATGATCTTTGACGATGGTTGCTCGATTCTTTGGCTATGGAAGAATTGAATTGAAGTGAAAGAGAGTGAGAGAGCAAAGATTGTGCTGTTTGAAAGTGTGATTTAGTAGTTATGGGGTTAGGTGGCGAGCATGGAAGAGAAGTCGTCGTTGGTGTGCTGTATGCATATACTAGTCAATAATCAATTCGACTATGGTGTTCCCAAGCTACAAGATAATATTTTTATCGGGAAAATCCGGCTATGATATTCTCAATCCACAACAAATTATAAGCTCGTATTTGAAGAAATAACAATAAGGCATTACTAAATTATATACTAAGCATGTGGGCACGTGGGTGGTTAATCTGTGGATTGATACCGATTCACCCGCAAATAACCCGACTCGCACGCAGTGGGTGATTGATGTGGGTGGATTGCGGATTGGTAAATCTCCCACCCGCACTGATGTGGGTGGATTGCGGGTCACCCATATGACCCGCATCCTATTTTTACATGAAAAAATGTTGTTTCTTATAGTATCGAATATTCATCATATTTTCTAACTGCACTACAGTCCGACCATATACTTCAAAAAGTGGAGAATAAATAATAGTTTTGACTGCTATTATTGGTCACTGTGTTGTGCAATATCCATTAGATATTCGATATTAGTATGCAGATTATTGTTAATAACCATTAAATATTGGGATGCAAACTATAAATTATTAATTGTATCAAAATCACAAATTATTGAGATAGTCTTGCTAATTTGCTATGAAATAATTATAAATGTAAGTCAACTTTTTTAATGGCTAAATAGAGAATTAGTTTTGTGGGTTCATCCGCGACCCAACCACCACCCACCCAACCCAACCTGCAGAAGTATGTGGGTGGATTGCGTGTAACATTTATTCCAACCCGCTAGTAAGCGGGTGGGTCAATTTGAGACCAAAACCCACCCAACCCGCTCATTGCCCACCCCTACTAAGCATTGGCGTTTGTCGGATGAATACGGTGATAATTTTACAATAATTATGATCACTTACATTCAATAATAATAAATCGTTTAGTGTCTAATCCGACGACTCATGGGAGACTAATTCTTCATTTTGTGTACCCATTCCGATATGCATAATTGACTATTGAAATGATCAAACCTGGAAAGCTTCAACCACCACAAAGTCCACAACCTAGACGAAAAGTACTACTTTAATAATCTCATAATATTTGTAGAAAAACTTAAGTGAAGTTTCAGACGTAAAAGGTTGTCCCTTACCATAATTATCTATTTTTCTTTATCGTGTCCCTAACTACCTATTTGTTTCCTCTCTATTTTTGTCATTGCAGATTTGCAGTAACTTATCTGGAAATTAAGGTAAAGTATTAGGTTCATTTTTTCACTCTAGTTTTATTGTGATTCTACCAAACATCTTCCTTAAGATGAAGGGTATTGAAAAATATATGAAGATCAAATATATGATGAATAGTGCATTCGATTTGATTTAATCTGGTCAAATTATCATTTCGGTTTATTTTTCTTAATTATTTATAAAATTTATGCGGGTAAAAACCGAACCATGTTTGGATGGTCTAATCCAAATGTGCACCGTCGCACACCCCTATTGATAATGGAAGAAATAGACATGTGAACGCAGATTCTATTACATATGCAAAGCAAAGACCAAAGAACTTTTTTCATAAATAGCACTGTTTAAAAAAAAATAACAAAAATACAACATAACCCAAAAATACCACCCTTTTTCGAAAATCGCCACCCCACCCTGCGGTTCACACGAAAACCGCTAGGTGGGGGCGCAATTTTCGACTAAAACCGCTAGGTTACGGGTAGGGCTACAAATGAGCCAAGCCGCTCACGAGCAACTCGGCGTTCGAATCGAAAAAAACTCGTTCGACACTTGACTCGTTGTTTATCAAGCCGGCTCGCGAGCTGACCCGTTAGTAAACGAGCCAAACTTGAGCTAGACCATGCTCAGCTTGATAAGCTCGTGAGCTAGCTTGACTCGGTGGCTTGTTGAGCTAAGCTCGCCAGCTGGCTTGTTTAAACATTGTGGAAAGATTAATTACTCTTTTGAATATGAAAATTATCTTGTTAATAAGGATGTGTATGGAAGTTAGATGTTATTTTTAGTTTCTAGTGTTTTTTTATCATTTTTAGTTTTTAATGTTCTTATTTGTACACATTTTTCAGCAAAGAATGGTTTCAAATCGAGCTCATCTTGAACCGAGCTTGTACTCAGCTTGACAAGCTGTGTTAATGAGCATTTATAAAGCTATATCGAGCCGAGCTCGAGCTGGATTATTTTTAATCGAGTCGAGCTCGAGCTCGAGCTGGATGATCAAAATTCGAGTTCGAGCCGAGCTCGAGCTGAAAAATTTATAAACAAGTCGAGCTCAAGCTAAGTAAAAACTCGACTCGACTCGTTTGCAGCTCTAGTGACGGGGCGGTTTTGAAAATCACTGGGTGGGGCGGCGGTTTTGGGCCATTTTTTTTATCAACTCCTAACGTAGGTCGAAACTTCAAACGAACGTAACTTTGCACTCGGGTATCCGATCGTAGAATTTTTTTTTTAATCCGCATAATTTTTCGAGATCTTGCAAGCTGCAAACGACCGTAGGCGGTTTGGTCCCGCCTTCGTCTCGAAAAAACGTCATTTGCTACCCTGAACGAGCCTTTTTTCTCTTTCGTCAAACTTTGGGCGGACATAACTTTGTGCTCCAAAATCCGAACGCCATGAATTTTTTTTTCATCTCGCATAACTTTTTATGATCTACAAGTTTTACTAGGATGAAACTTTCAAAACAGGAATTAGTTTTGGATATACGGGATCTTGGGAATAACTTTACATTTACTTTTCACAAATTCGTGTACATTTCGAAATTATGATTATTTTAAAAGTTGTAGTAATTGATAATTAATGCAGAATCAAAAAAAAATTATGACATTCGGATTTTGAAGCACAAAGTTATGGCCGTTCAAAGTAATTGAAGATTTTTAGCGTTCAATGATTAAAACTTTGTTAATATATAATTGTTTCAAAAGAGGAGTTGTAGTAAGGTGGTTTAGATGTTGGGCTGAATTTAGTTAACTATTTAATAATTAAATTTGGGTTCGAACCACCATTGAAACAGGGGAGAAGCTAACTATAATCTCCACCGTCCATTCCTAATTATAATCTAATGGCTACAAATACACCGGGTAAATTAGGGATATTCTGCATTAAATTTTAATTTCCGTTTTTAAATTAAGTCTGTTTTTTTGTTACTGGACGGATTTTAAGGAATTGGTACGGTTAAGCTTCCCGATTTTTTTTTAAGAGGGATGTAGTGTTTCCATTTTTATCTGATTGGTGGATCGCAAACGAGGGTGGTTTGAGAGAAAAATTGAGGGGAAGACCTTATATCGATCGATCGTCGGTGGCCACGTCTGCAACGGCGGTGAGAAACAATCTTTGTTGTTGATGACGACGGAATCTGAGGAAGTTATTATGAGCAGCGGTGATGGAGGAAGAGGAAACAGTGCGTGACCTGTCGATCATGCCGGTGGAAGTGGGACAATTGCGCCGATCGATGTGAGAATGGATCGAACGCAGATGTGGTCAGCTGAAAGCGAGCTTGTCGACGGAGCTTATGGCAGCGACGAGGTGAGGGGCGTCGAGGAGGGCGGCGGCGTCAAGGGCAGTGCAGGCGAATCCAGCCCCGACGGAGATCACAGTAGCAACGATGTCAAGAACGTTGAGGAGGCTAGGGCTGCGGTATCGATCGAGAGCGGCGGCGACGAACACAGCCCCGCCGAAGAAGAATAAAAACTTACCTAAAAGGAATTTAATTTGCTTCCCTGTTGGGATATCCCCGCCACAGAGTCCCACACGTACGTTTGAACACCCTTTATTTTCCAAAATTAAAAAGGAAGGGGAGCTGGCGGGTTAGGATGGTGCTAACGGGATAGATGGTTAGCAGCCCATCTGATCTCTCAACTAAACCAATTGTGTCAAGACCACTTATGAGATTTATACGGATAAAAAAAATATATATATATACACTAAAAACCGCCGGGTAGGGGTGCGGTTTTCACTTTTCAGCAAAACCACCCTGGCCCCATGTGGTTCGTAATACCGCCCCCGACTCGTGTGATTTTCATCGAAAACTGCGCCCCCGTCCAGCGATTTTCGAGAAATGGTGGTATTTTAGGAATTTTTCGTACATGAGTGGTAGTTTTGTAAAAAAAAAAATTAAAGAGTGGTACTTTTGGATTTTTTTTCCAAGACCAAAGACAAAAAGAAAATAATAACGTCATTTGGAAATCTTAAATTGATTAGGAGTTTATTTAGTGTATCATTTGAGGAGAATGCATTGTACTAGTCAAGTAGTTGAAATTTCTTCTATACCACTTTAGGAATATTTAAATTATGTTATAAATTATGAGATATTATTTGGATTAGAAAGACTTCATAAATTGGATAAATTGATAGTAAAATCAAAAGTGATTCTATCAATTTTATCTATTTATTTACTTGTAAAATTTTTATTGATTTTATTGCTTAAGATAGTTTCTCTTGCATAACTAGATTTGGGTATTTAGTTTTGAGCGGGGCTAGAAAGACCTAAATCTTAAGAGGTGAGAATTAATAACTTTTTCATTAGTTTTTTTTTCCCCACAGATACAGATACAACTTACAAGTAAGTTCCATTTTTCATATATTTCGGGGGAGGGGGAATTCGTATCACTCATAATACTTTTTCGACTAATGCAAAATGTCATGTAGCTGCCACTAAGGAGTAAGAGTGGACCAATAAGTGTGTTTGATGTCAAGAAGTATAAGAATCATGATAATGGGGAGGGTTCATGCCGATTGACTTATAGAGATTGAAGAGATAGAAAGTACAGAGTTGTAAGTCATTTGTGTGTTTAGTGTAAGAGAGTGGTTATGAGTGATTTGATAGGCTTTCAATGGTAGGGATATTGACAAAAGTTATTATTATGTGTTGGTGCTTCCAGCCAATTTCCAATACTACATCCGGCCAAGAGACCGGGTAATAAGCTAGTACTAATATAATACTGAACGATGTTACCCTGTATTTGTTCTACGAACAGAGGATGATTGACTGGTTTGTTCAATGATCATCCTGCCTAACTGGAACCATGTGGCCAGGAAACTTCACGTTCTTCCACTACCACTATTTTCAAATTCCTTCAACTAACACATTGCCAAGCTATTCATCCCTCAGAAAACTAAATATAGTTTGAAGTCCCACCTCTTAAGCAACCCATTGCATAAGGAACAACCCAAAAAGCTCAGCTTCTAATTTAGCAATGGACTTCCACTTCCAGAAGGACTACCTTGACTTGTTCTTGGTACCAAATGGCCTTCTCATTATGTTCACTTACCATCTCTACCTTCTCTACAGACACTACACTTGCCCTTCCTCCACGACCATCGGCCTCGAAGCACTCGACAGGGTCGATTGGGTTCGAACCATCGTCCAAGTAAGTCGACATTCTCCCTAATTTCCTCCCTCCCTTCTGAAGATTCGAATCAATGGCCTTAGTTCGTATCTTTGTTCATCTTATTTTCTTTTATGTGCAGAACGGTGATAAGGGCACCTTAGACCGAGCAGCATCCGTGATCACAACCCACACTACATCAGGAACTTTCTTCGCCACCTTCAGCTTGACCATGAGCTCTCTAATAGGCACGTTTCTCGGTTCCTCCAGCAATTTCTTCAGGAGCAATCGAGTATATGGCGACACGAGGCCCTTTACCGTGTTCATCAAGAACATCGGGCTACTCTCTTGCTTGCTCCTTGCCTTCTCCGGATTTGTTCATGCTGTGAAGCTTCTGGTTCACGCCAACTACCTACTGACGATGAGCACGCCGGGGAACAAGAACTTGGAGAGGAAGATTGAGTTCATGATTACAAGAGGTGGATACTGTTGGAACCTTGGCCTTAGAGCTCTCTATTTTGCCCTCACTATGCTCCTCTGGTTCTTCGGGCCCATACCCATGTTTGCTTCCTGTGTTTTCATGGTGATCATCTTGTACTATCATGATATCTACATCGTGAAGCTGCATGATTCGTATTGTCAGCTGGAAGAGCCTGAAAAGTACATGAAAGCAGAGCCAAGAGCAAGCTTCAGCTATTGAGTTTTGTGGATAAAATTCAAAGATTGTTGCGAGACGTACTGAATCAAGGATGAGTGCTTGTATCTGCAGAGATGAACCCATGTACGTTAGTCGAGTTCCTCGAACATTTTCCCCTTTCCATTAACACGGAGGCAATATCCCTATACGGTTAATTGTCCGTTTAGTTGACACATGAAATGACATTCTTGCAAGTTGCAACTATTTTAAAGTCCATGTCTAGCTGTGTGCAAGCTGTGATGAAGCATACCATCTTTGTCAACTGTTGTTTCCTTCTTTTGGCACCAAGTGTGCTTGATTGACTTGCTATTACAAACTCCACGTTCTGGGATTTGATGGAAGAGCCCTTGCTTGCCCAACAAGACATGCACTTGCATCTTGCACCATTGGCTGCATCACAAACCAATCCGTTTCCTCAAATCGAACCACAAGTTTGCTGAGTTCCTGGGTTACGACCACAAAATCAAAAGTTAAAAAGACAGAAGAATAAGTGAGCTGGGATTTTTTGGGTTGGGTTTGCTACGATACTAGTCCTGCAGTTTTGCGTCCAACCGCATAGAACCGAACAAATTGCGTTTCGGTTTGAGCCGAATCAATTGGTTGACCATACAGTGATACAAGTACAAGTGCGGTGGTTTGATTAACAAAAAATACGGTTCAACCGCACTGATCGCCCATCCCTCCTGTTACACCATGATGATGTCTCTAGCCCCAATGAGATTAGCTAAGGAATGGAATGATTCCCTCCAATCAAGAATCAAACTGTTAAAGGTGAAAACCCTAATTCTACAGAAGGGAAGCACAACTCTAATTCAGCTCACGGCCAAGATAGCTGAGGTAAGGGATAGTGGAGCCAGATTTCTGAACCAGAAAGTGGGTCTGCTGAACACGTGAAACGCAGTAAGGACAAACAAACCCTAGATGGGCTGCATTCCAATTTCTAAGATATAGTTGCGTGGGAAACAAGTATAAGCAAAGCAGTTTCCAATTTCAGTTTCCTAACACGCCACCCTTTTTCACCCATCATCATCATCTTCAAACAACAGGCTGCCTCAGAACTGTTTTTAGCTCCTGAAAGCGATTTAGGGTAACCCTGCCTGTGAATCAGCAGCAGGTTGAAACAGCTTCTGCTGAGAATTACAGAGCTGTAGTGACAGGTTTATTGGTTCTGTTTTCAAAGCATTGCTTATTAATCATCCAAACGGCCACATTCATCATCCACGTGAAAGGAAATGGAAACGAAAGATTCAAGCTGTATTGCAGTCCTATTGAAGCAAGGAAAAGAAATACATACTGCCACATTAAACAATTCCAAGTCAAATCCTAATTTCCGGTAGGAGTTTACTCCATACACTGAAAATTCAGAGATATAAGCAAAACTCACCTCAATCCAATTGACTCGACGAAGTGGTGAAGGCAGAAGAAGGAACTGAGATGGGTTTGCACAAGGAAGAACTCGACTTAATACTCGTCCCTCTTGCGTTGGTTATCTTGTTCAGTTACAACCTCTCCCTTCTCTACAGATACCTCAACCACCCTCGCACCACAGCTATCGGCTTCCAGAACAACGACAAGAGAGCTTGGGTCGCGAGAATCATGGAGGTAACTGCACAAAATTCGTTTTTTTCATTCAAACCCTCTTTCCGGGAATCAATTTCCCGTTAACCCACCAATTCAATTTCACCAGGGCGACAAGGACGACGTTCGCAACGCTCTGTCAGTAATTTCGTCGAACACCTCGGCTGCATCCGTCCTGGCTTCAATCTCCCTGACGCTCAGCTCCCTGATCGGCGCCTGGCTCGGTGGGAAATCCCCCAACGTCTTCCAGAGCGAGCTGATCTACGGCGACACGAGATCCTGCACGCTTTCCATGAAATACATCGGCCTGATGCTCTGCTTCCTCCTCGCATTCTCCTGCTTCGTCTCTTCGGCGACACACTTCGTCCACGCCAACTACCTCATCAGCATCCCCAGCAGCGACGTCCCCGTGGAGAGCGTGGAGACGGCGGTGATACGCGCCGGCGATTTCTGGTGCCTGGGACTCCGAGCTTTGTACTTCGCGCTGAATCTGCTGATGTGGTTCTGTTTACACCTAAAAAATACTAGTGTACCACATTGATTACTTACAATGCACTAACTGCCTTTATAAGGCCAGATCATTAATAACAATTAGTGTTATTTGAACTGGGCCTCATGATACTAGTTTTTAAGCCCAAATCACTAAGTCTCCAAGAAGGAGCTAGTCTCATCGCGAGTTGGGTAGCCCGGCGTGGTCATGAGATCTAGACCATGTCGGCATCAAATTTTGAGCCCGACGTGGTCATGAGATCTAGACCACTTTGGCTTCAAACTTAGAGCCCGACGTGGTCGTGAAATCTAGACTGCATCGGCATCAACTTTAGAGCTCGACGTGGTCGCGAGATCTAGACCATCAAATTTTGAGCCCGACGTGGTTATGAGATCTAGACCACGTTGGCTTCAAACTTAGAGCTCTACGTGGTCATGAGATCTAGACCACGTTGGCGTCAAATTTAGAGCTCTACGCGGTCATGAGATCTAGACCACGTTGGCGTCAAATTTAGAGCTCTACGCGGTCGCGAGATCTAGGCCACATCGTGAGACCAAGCCCAAGATCCGAGCTAACAAGTTGGAAGTAAGAAGGCAAGTCATGTGGGAGAGGCAAGTAACAAGACGACAGTTTCAGGATGAAGAGCAGGCGGTTAACGGAGAAACTGCCGAGTATCCCACGTGCAATGACACGTCAGCCACGTCCGAGAAAGAAGGAGAGCAGTTCCTTTTGGAAGTTATTCTAAGACAGTTTCTACGACGGTTATCATCTCAAGGGCTATAAATAGGAGGAGGAGTCGACAGAGGAGGAGGGCCAAATTCACACCAGACAACACAATGTCTAATTTTATCTCTTTATCCTTTCCTCTGCAATTTTAGCCGTAGTCGTAGATCTGGAGCTCTCACTGAACCTCCATAGGAGTAGGGTAATTTAATTTAGATTCTGTCTCGTGAGTCGTGTAAACATCGAACACCCTCGTTCGAACTGTGTTTGAAGAGGTGTGAACCGTGTCTTAGTGATCGTTGTCCAAAGAAGTCAAGGTGCATTCAATTCGTTTCAACGCAAGTTTTCTCACAGGAGAACAAATTTGGCACACCTGGTGGGACACTTGTGTTTGATTTGATGGCTCCAAGACAGAGACAACAAGAAGGTGATCTCTCACCTGGGCTTGTGAAGAAGCACGTGGCTAAATTTGAATTTGGCCAAGAGGTGAAAGATGTTGCCGTAAACAATGGCATGGTGGAGACTTCGTCACCGGCGGCACCAAGTGTTGATATAACCACCAACATCATGTTACTTCACAAGATAATGGAGGAAGACCGCAAGATGATGGCGGAGAACCGTCAAGCCTTGGAGGAAAACTACAAGATGATGATGGAGAACCATCAAGCCTTGGAGGAGAACCGCATGTTGAGGGCGGAGAACGTCCGAGCCATGGAGGAACATCGTCATTCCTTGGAGGGATGCCTAGTCAGCCTTGATCGTGGTACCCAACAAGTAAGCCTCCGCCTAGAATCTCTCACTTCTCATCTAGATAATCGTGTAAGTCAACTTATAGAGTTGGTTAACAAAAATAATGACGATTTCAATGATTTGAAAAACCTTTTGATAAAACAAGTGGTTCAATCAAGAGATTTGCCACTAGATGGTACAAACTCTTCTACTAATGACCAGAGTGGCCAACTATGGCAGAAGAGCTTGTCACCTCCAGTGGCAAGCAAACCACTCCCTCAATGTGAGAGTTGTGGTGAGAGGTCCACCTCCACTCTAAACACTAGTCATGGGGTCTTGCATGTACAAGGTGATGTTCAACCACTCGTTCTCGAGACAAGATCAGATGAGACACTTGTCAATGGACGAGATGGTGAAGATCCATTAAACGTGGAACAAGTACCACCACATGCTTGCCCACCCCCAAAGTCACCCCTATTGAGTGGACAAAGAGGCGATTCTGATGGACTCAACACACTTAGAGCTCAGCAAGGGGGGCATGAAAGTCTAACTTCCCACAAGTTGACGCCGAGATGTCCATCTAGGGGGCATGTGGTGTCTAAGAGGTCACATCAATCACAAGCAACACATGCTTGTGCTAAACATATTAATTTGGCCAAGTCTGGAAAGGGGGGCATGCCTCCAACCACTTGCAGTAGACATGGGAGCATATCTAACAAGTCACAACGTGAGAAAGCCATAAAAAGTTATTGTAGATTTGAAAATTTGGCTAAGTATGGACAAGACATGTCCAAGAAGCCATATGAAGTGCAAGTCACACATGTTTGCCATAACCATGCTAATTTGACTAAGTCTGGACAAGGGAGCATTTCACCTACCATGAAGAATGGAGTAGAGAGCATCTCCAAGAAGACACAAGAAGTCAAACCCCCACACGGATTTTGTAAGCGTGAGATTATGGATAAGGGTGGATTGGGGGGCAAGTCCATGTCAATGAATAGTAAGTACTCGACACCAACCACAAAGAGTGGACATGGGGGCATGTATAAGAAGTCACCATACACACCAGCCAAACATGGTTGCACCAAGAATCAATGGTGGTTGAGTGCTAAGTGTAGGGGCCAACAAGGTTTAGATGTTGAAAGACGAAGACAAGGAAGCTACACGAGTGGTTGTCGACTTGTCAAGTCTAGACTTGGTCCCCAACATTGTGAGGAGATTAAGCATGTATCAAGTGGGAGGAAATCAAGGCAGAATAATAATTATGATAGCCTTGACATCTCAAGTAAGATGGCCCAAGCAAAGAAGCATGAGACCTCATGCAAGGCCACCAAGACTAGACATGCTGACCATGTACCACCCATTACTAAGCTAGAAAATTCAAAGTTAATGTATGAAGATTTATCTCCCATGGAGGAAAAGAGTCATGTGGTCTATGGATGGCATGTCTGGTTTGATCCATGGACTTGGCAATGGGTTTACACCTTCGGTACATTGATTGTTGCCAAAGGCTATGGAGAGCAGTGACATTTGTCACTTCTTGCCATATAAAATAAATAAATTTATATAATGTACTTATTATATATTAGTTATAAAAAAATATTGTAGCCAAACGTGGCTAAAAGAAAAGATAGAAGGAAAATATCAAAGTGAAAATCTTGAGTTGGAGTTGTTAGACTTCGACATGAAGATCTTGCCACCAAGTCGTTGTAATGGCTTGACATGACGAGCCATACATCAGGCCATGCCATGCCATCTTATCTTGTCCCGAGTAGTCACGGCCTGGGGGGCATGATGGCTTGAAACGTGGTAGTAGAGGAGTGGTGACCAGAATGTCTCTACCAACATAAAAATGAACATTAGTTTGTCTAAGGCAAAAAAGTAGACGACTTGACTTGTCGCGAGGAAGCTGTCTAGCCTTGTGACGAGGTGAGATGAGCCAATCTATGCCAAACTAGCTGCGAAAAATTCTAAGTTATTCTCTCAACCATGTGGCAAAGTACGAAATGTCAATGAGGGTGTAGGTGATAAAGTGAGGTTGGTGTCTCGTTGAATGCAGTAGGTGGCTTGACCATTAAAAGCCAAAATTTTGCTAAGGCATGGGACAAGTCGTTGACGTCGAGTTCTATCCGGCCATGTTGGCATGACCATTAAAAGCCAAAATTTGGCTAAGGCATGGAACAAGTTCGGGCGTCAATTTCCATCTCGCCATGTTGGCTTGACGGGAAAAGCCAAAATTTGGCTAAGGCATGGAACAAGTTTTTACGTCAAGTTCCATCTCGCCATGTTGGCTTGACGCGAAAAACCAAAATTTGCCTAAGGCATGGGACAAGTTATGACTAGTGTTCCATCTGGACGTGTTGGCCTAATTATTGAAAGTCAAAATTTTGGCGAAGTAAAATTGGTGTGTTGATAAGCCAACACGTTACTTGGCTAGCTTGGTGGTGTTCAACTACTTAGTCCATAATTCTTATGCACTAAGTAGTTGGGGGGCATTTGTTTACACCTAAAAAATACTAGTGTACCACATTGATTACTTACAATGCACTAACTGCCTTTATAAGGCCAGATCATTAATAACAATTAGTGTTATTTGAACTGGGCCTCATGATACTAGTTTTTAAGCCCAAATCACTAAGTCTCCAAGAAGGAGCTAGTCTCATCGCGAGTTGGGTAGCCCGGCGTGGTCATGAGATCTAGACCATGTCGGCATCAAATTTTGAGCCCGACGTGGTCGTGAGATCTAGACCACGTTGGCATCAAATCTAGAGCCCGACGTGGTCGTGAGATCTAGACCATGTCGGCATCAAATCTAGAGCTCTACGTGGTCATGAGATCTAGACCACTTTGGCTTCAAACTTAGAGCCCGACGTGGTCGTGAAATCTAGACTGCATCGGCATCAACTTTAGAGCTCGACGTGGTCGCGAGATCTAGACCATCAAATTTTGAGCCCGACGTGGTTATGAGATCTAGACCACGTTGGCTTCAAACTTAGAGCTCTACGTGGTCATGAGATCTAGACCACGTTGGCGTCAAATTTAGAGCTCTACGCGGTCATGAGATCTAGACCACGTTGGCGTCAAATTTAGAGCTCTACGCGGTCGCGAGATCTAGGCCACATCGTGAGACCAAGCCCAAGATCCGAGCTAACAAGTTGGAAGTAAGAAGGCAAGTCATGTGGGAGAGGCAAGTAACAAGACGACAGTTTCAGGATGAAGAGCAGGCGGTTAACGGAGAAACTGCCGAGTATCCCACGTGCAATGACACGTCAGCCACGTCCGAGAAAGAAGGAGAGCAGTTCCTTTTGGAAGTTATTCTAAGACAGTTTCTACGACGGTTATCATCTCAAGGGCTATAAATAGGAGGAGGAGTCGACAGAGGAGGAGGGCCAAATTCACACCAGACAACACAATGTCTAATTTTATCTCTTTATCCTTTCCTCTGCAATTTTAGCCGTAGTCGTAGATCTGGAGCTCTCACTGAACCTCCATAGGAGTAGGGTAATTTAATTTAGATTCTGTCTCGTGAGTCGTGTAAACATCGAACACCCTCGTTCGAACTGTGTTTGAAGAGGTGTGAACCGTGTCTTAGTGATCGTTGTCCAAAGAAGTCAAGGTGCATTCAATTCGTTTCAACGCAAGTTTTCTCACAGGAGAACAAATTTGGCACACCTGGTGGGACACTTGTGTTTGATTTGATGGCTCCAAGACAGAGACAACAAGAAGGTGATCTCTCACCTGGGCTTGTGAAGAAGCACGTGGCTAAATTTGAATTTGGCCAAGAGGTGAAAGATGTTGCCGTAAACAATGGCATGGTGGAGACTTCGTCACCGGCGGCACCAAGTGTTGATATAACCACCAACATCATGTTACTTCACAAGATAATGGAGGAAGACCGCAAGATGATGGCGGAGAACCGTCAAGCCTTGGAGGAAAACTACAAGATGATGATGGAGAACCATCAAGCCTTGGAGGAGAACCGCATGTTGAGGGCGGAGAACGTCCGAGCCATGGAGGAACATCGTCATTCCTTGGAGGGATGCCTAGTCAGCCTTGATCGTGGTACCCAACAAGTAAGCCTCCGCCTAGAATCTCTCACTTCTCATCTAGATAATCGTGTAAGTCAACTTATAGAGTTGGTTAACAAAAATAATGACGATTTCAATGATTTGAAAAACCTTTTGATAAAACAAGTGGTTCAATCAAGAGATTTGCCACTAGATGGTACAAACTCTTCTACTAATGACCAGAGTGGCCAACTATGGCAGAAGAGCTTGTCACCTCCAGTGGCAAGCAAACCACTCCCTCAATGTGAGAGTTGTGGTGAGAGGTCCACCTCCACTCTAAACACTAGTCATGGGGTCTTGCATGTACAAGGTGATGTTCAACCACTCGTTCTCGAGACAAGATCAGATGAGACACTTGTCAATGGACGAGATGGTGAAGATCCATTAAACGTGGAACAAGTACCACCACATGCTTGCCCACCCCCAAAGTCACCCCTATTGAGTGGACAAAGAGGCGATTCTGATGGACTCAACACACTTAGAGCTCAGCAAGGGGGGCATGAAAGTCTAACTTCCCACAAGTTGACGCCGAGATGTCCATCTAGGGGGCATGTGGTGTCTAAGAGGTCACATCAATCACAAGCAACACATGCTTGTGCTAAACATATTAATTTGGCCAAGTCTGGAAAGGGGGGCATGCCTCCAACCACTTGCAGTAGACATGGGAGCATATCTAACAAGTCACAACGTGAGAAAGCCATAAAAAGTTATTGTAGATTTGAAAATTTGGCTAAGTATGGACAAGACATGTCCAAGAAGCCATATGAAGTGCAAGTCACACATGTTTGCCATAACCATGCTAATTTGACTAAGTCTGGACAAGGGAGCATTTCACCTACCATGAAGAATGGAGTAGAGAGCATCTCCAAGAAGACACAAGAAGTCAAACCCCCACACGGATTTTGTAAGCGTGAGATTATGGATAAGGGTGGATTGGGGGGCAAGTCCATGTCAATGAATAGTAAGTACTCGACACCAACCACAAAGAGTGGACATGGGGGCATGTATAAGAAGTCACCATACACACCAGCCAAACATGGTTGCACCAAGAATCAATGGTGGTTGAGTGCTAAGTGTAGGGGCCAACAAGGTTTAGATGTTGAAAGACGAAGACAAGGAAGCTACACGAGTGGTTGTCGACTTGTCAAGTCTAGACTTGGTCCCCAACATTGTGAGGAGATTAAGCATGTATCAAGTGGGAGGAAATCAAGGCAGAATAATAATTATGATAGCCTTGACATCTCAAGTAAGATGGCCCAAGCAAAGAAGCATGAGACCTCATGCAAGGCCACCAAGACTAGACATGCTGACCATGTACCACCCATTACTAAGCTAGAAAATTCAAAGTTAATGTATGAAGATTTATCTCCCATGGAGGAAAAGAGTCATGTGGTCTATGGATGGCATGTCTGGTTTGATCCATGGACTTGGCAATGGGTTTACACCTTCGGTACATTGATTGTTGCCAAAGGCTATGGAGAGCAGTGACATTTGTCACTTCTTGCCATATAAAATAAATAAATTTATATAATGTACTTATTATATATTAGTTATAAAAAAATATTGTAGCCAAACGTGGCTAAAAGAAAAGATAGAAGGAAAATATCAAAGTGAAAATCTTGAGTTGGAGTTGTTAGACTTCGACATGAAGATCTTGCCACCAAGTCGTTGTAATGGCTTGACATGACGAGCCATACATCAGGCCATGCCATGCCATCTTATCTTGTCCCGAGTAGTCACGGCCTGGGGGGCATGATGGCTTGAAACGTGGTAGTAGAGGAGTGGTGACCAGAATGTCTCTACCAACATAAAAATGAACATTAGTTTGTCTAAGGCAAAAAAGTAGACGACTTGACTTGTCGCGAGGAAGCTGTCTAGCCTTGTGACGAGGTGAGATGAGCCAATCTATGCCAAACTAGCTGCGAAAAATTCTAAGTTATTCTCTCAACCATGTGGCAAAGTACGAAATGTCAATGAGGGTGTAGGTGATAAAGTGAGGTTGGTGTCTCGTTGAATGCAGTAGGTGGCTTGACCATTAAAAGCCAAAATTTTGCTAAGGCATGGGACAAGTCGTTGACGTCGAGTTCTATCCGGCCATGTTGGCATGACCATTAAAAGCCAAAATTTGGCTAAGGCATGGAACAAGTTCGGGCGTCAATTTCCATCTCGCCATGTTGGCTTGACGGGAAAAGCCAAAATTTGGCTAAGGCATGGAACAAGTTTTTACGTCAAGTTCCATCTCGCCATGTTGGCTTGACGCGAAAAACCAAAATTTGCCTAAGGCATGGGACAAGTTATGACTAGTGTTCCATCTGGACGTGTTGGCCTAATTATTGAAAGTCAAAATTTTGGCGAAGTAAAATTGGTGTGTTGATAAGCCAACACGTTACTTGGCTAGCTTGGTGGTGTTCAACTACTTAGTCCATAATTCTTATGCACTAAGTAGTTGGGGGGCATTTGTTTACACCTAAAAAATACTAGTGTACCACATTGATTACTTACAATGCACTAACTGCCTTTATAAGGCCAGATCATTAATAACAATTAGTGTTATTTGAACTGGGCCTCATGATACTAGTTTTTAAGCCCAAATCACTAAGTCTCCAAGAAGGAGCTAGTCTCATCGCGAGTTGGGTAGCCCGGCGTGGTCATGAGATCTAGACCATGTCGGCATCAAATTTTGAGCCCGACGTGGTCGTGAGATCTAGACCACGTTGGCATCAAATCTAGAGCCCGACGTGGTCGTGAGATCTAGACCATGTCGGCATCAAATCTAGAGCTCTACGTGGTCATGAGATCTAGACCACTTTGGCTTCAAACTTAGAGCCCGACGTGGTCGTGAAATCTAGACTGCATCGGCATCAACTTTAGAGCTCGACGTGGTCGCGAGATCTAGACCATCAAATTTTGAGCCCGACGTGGTTATGAGATCTAGACCACGTTGGCTTCAAACTTAGAGCTCTACGTGGTCATGAGATCTAGACCACGTTGGCGTCAAATTTAGAGCTCTACGCGGTCATGAGATCTAGACCACGTTGGCGTCAAATTTAGAGCTCTACGCGGTCGCGAGATCTAGGCCACATCGTGAGACCAAGCCCAAGATCCGAGCTAACAAGTTGGAAGTAAGAAGGCAAGTCATGTGGGAGAGGCAAGTAACAAGACGACAGTTTCAGGATGAAGAGCAGGCGGTTAACGGAGAAACTGCCGAGTATCCCACGTGCAATGACACGTCAGCCACGTCCGAGAAAGAAGGAGAGCAGTTCCTTTTGGAAGTTATTCTAAGACAGTTTCTACGACGGTTATCATCTCAAGGGCTATAAATAGGAGGAGGAGTCGACAGAGGAGGAGGGCCAAATTCACACCAGACAACACAATGTCTAATTTTATCTCTTTATCCTTTCCTCTGCAATTTTAGCCGTAGTCGTAGATCTGGAGCTCTCACTGAACCTCCATAGGAGTAGGGTAATTTAATTTAGATTCTGTCTCGTGAGTCGTGTAAACATCGAACACCCTCGTTCGAACTGTGTTTGAAGAGGTGTGAACCGTGTCTTAGTGATCGTTGTCCAAAGAAGTCAAGGTGCATTCAGTTCGTTTCAACGCAAGTTTTCTCACAGGAGAACAGGTTCTTTGGGCCTGTGCCCATGTTCGTTTCGGCAGTGATCACGGTGGCGATTCTCTGTTCCTCCGACGCCAATTCCAAGCCGCTGCATCAACACTTGCCGGCACCGGCGAGGGCCCAGATGGTGAAAATGACTGGTCAGCCCAAAAGCCCGGTGAGCGCGGAGGTTTTGTAGTGGATCGGGCTAATAACAGAAAGGCCCAACCTCAAAAGAGACCCGTATTGTTCCTCTACTTTTACCCTTTTTTTCCTCCTTTTCTGATTAACACTTTTCCACCACGTCAATAAACATATGTTTGGCAAAAACAATCTCGTAACTTTGTATACCATCTAATTACACTAATTGGTGCTACATGCCTACATTGATTGATTGATATTTGATACAGAGCAAGGATACCGGAGGCTGTACCAAAACGGTTAGCAGTAGGATATTTTATGTTGAAACTATGGCTTAACCGTCTACTAATTTAGCTTTCGATTAGAGATTTTTACTTTCGAATCGATAGTATGATACAGTATCACAAACTCTGATCCATAATATGCATACAACTAGCTTATATATATAAAGATCCGTGTAATATTGATATGGTCGGATCGATGTGATCGCAATCTCAACCGTTAGATGCACTTATTGTTATTATTTACAAGTAATGCCAGCTCAAACATCCAATGACCAAAATCATGATCATGGTTAATGGCATGGCATGGCAGATGGCACATGGCAGCGAGTTGAGGTATTCTACATCATTGGGCTACTAAAAGCCCACTGGGCTTCCTCCGTGAGGCATCGCGTGTCCGGTTAATGGATCGACGTGTTTGGGCCTGGAGTTGGGTCCACTTGCCGACTTTTGGACAGGAGGTCAAAAGCTGGGTGGATTATTTTGCGTACTGGTGCATGTTGGTGGGAAAGGGAGAGGTGAGTGCAGAGAGAGCAGACACATGGGATGGAGGAGACGGGTTTAGGACCGTACGATCTAAGAGCGACGCTACCTTACTATCTATCTCATCAAAGCCTTTGATTTTAATTTGCCTCTCTCTCCCGACCCGACAGTCTCTGATTGGACAAGGACCCGTCTAGTTCCTTTTGGCAAAATTACTCCCATTTCTGTGGGCTCCATCTCTCTGCCCGTCCACTCATCTTCTGCCACGTCGATCCCACAATCCCTTACCTAGGGATATGAACACTTGCTCATCCTCCTGGCCACACATCTAGTCGCGAGAAAACGGTTACGGTTTTTTCCGGTTAAACCGCAAACTAATCGAATGAGTGTAGGTTAGCGGTGAACCTGCTAGCCGTTTGATATGGGATTTCATAACAACTAATCGAACAACTGATTGCAGGCCAGCTCAAGGTCCAATTACCTGCTCACTTCACTTATCGTTAGTGTTCCAATCCACCCATCCATGTCTCGTTGTCTGTCGAGCAGAGCACGCGCTCCAGTTCCATCCTTCCTCCTCCTTGGCGCTCGTTCGTCAGTCGGGCATAGTAGTTGTTGTTCCACTTCCTCCTTCCTCGACCCTTCATCTTCGTCAAAAAAATCTGACGACCGCTGCTACTAAACGTAAGTTCGTAACTAACCGCTAACCACGATTCGCGGTTGTGGGGGGCGGTCACAGTTGACAAATTTCTCCTTATTCAGCTGCAATTAACCGAGTTACTCGGTGCAGATAACCGAAAATCGCATCGTTTCTCACCGCCACACCACACGCGCATCGAATTCCAATTTCCCTGCTCTACAGATATGAACAACATAGAAGGAAGTTTTACTTTTTCGCATAAAAAAAAAGCTTTTTTACATGATAATGAATCAACTTTATGTACACATTTTTCTCACTTGGATGTCCTAATGTTTCTAAAAGTGGTTGGATGGTTGTTAACCGTGACTCGTGATCGTTCAATTCATGCAGTAATGAAATATACGATGATCGCAGAATGTAGGGGGCGCGATCTCAATTATCACAACTCGCACGACGATTATGTCATACGCCTCATAGCACAATGCTTCTATTTAAAAACTATACATTCATAAAAAAAAACAACTTCTATTTAGTACTCATTTATCTCACCCTAACTATACTGGTTTCTATCCATATTTTGTTACATACATGTATGCAAGGTTAGGTAGCAAGTAGATCAAAATACAACGCGCGCGTGGGAGAGGGAGAGAAGAAGGCGTGTGCGCGTGAGGAGAATAGTGAGTGGTGGACGTGGTGGGGAAGAGTGAATGACAAGACTAAAGTACGATGAAAGGCTGAGACAAAATAGGGACCGAGACAGCAAATGCCCCCCCGCGGAAAAGTCGAGGGGTTTTGGGGGCAAGCCTGTGGCCTCAGAGAGAGAGAGAGAGAGAAAAGTCGGGGATGGAAGAAGAGTGAAGTGTGAAGTTACCAGCTTTATTAGTCATCGTTTTTGATGGGTGGTGGTGGTGAAATGGTGATGGTCGTCTTTCTGTCGTTTCACAGGTCCCATTTTCTCTCTGTCCTCTGTGCCAACTCTTCTCTGCTGCTGCTTGCTGCTGTTCCTTCTCCCTCCAAGCCCAGTTTTTTTCTTTCTCTTTGATGGGATGGTCCATTTTGGTCCTCGGGAAACCAGGGTCCCTCCATTTTTTTTTCCATTTCACCTCCTCTCACGCGCCCGCACCACTGTTTCTTATTGTACGCGCAACAACCGGAATACCAGGGTTCACGCGAGCCTGCTTCTCTAGTATGCTAATGCCGTAACCAATCAGCACGAGTGCTAACATCGTTGTATTGCGCGATTGAATCGCGCCGCGTAACTGGGGTTCGTACAAGAAAACAGTGCAACAGCACCCGCCGCCGTGCCCCCACGCGCGGCCAAATTCTAAGTTTGTGTTATTAACCGGTGGTTTTACGGTCAAAACCACCGTCGTTAGATTGACCAGGTTCCACAGAATTCTGCATGTTACGAATCTAGCTAGCAATACATAAAATCTTTATGTATCTCCCGCATATTACGGGGGGATCGTCAACGTCCTTATTGTAGTTACTATATGTGTATCTACTTTTTTAAGGATGTTCTTGCCATATATGTAATTCCCCTTTAGACTTTAGAGTCCGCCCTAGGTGGTGATGGATTGGCAATGAGCGCCAACGGGCGGGTACGTCAATACCAATACTCACCTCGTAACTAATACTCATGTCACGTTCTGCACTATTTTGGTGGGCCTAGGTGGTGTAGATCAGGTTGGGTAATACTCGTACGTGCAGAGTAGGTGGGAAACAATACTCATGTTCCGTTCCGCACTGTTTTTGTGGGGTTAGGTAATGCATGCTCAAACAGGTTGTTGGCAAGTCGGATCGTGCCGATGAGGTCATATATTGCCATCATTACCCCCTAAGCCGGTCGTTTCGTATTTATAAGAAAATGGGTATAAGATTTAGTATAAGAATTCAGATCTTTCACAGTGACTCAAATTGTACAGTTGATTCTCGAGACATTCTTTTATTGAGAACTACGTACAAAATTATTCGACTGATAATGTTATAATCGAGTTCGCTAAGAATTGAGAAGACTAAAGTGTGCGCCACAGACCAACTGACAAAGGGGATTGGATTAATTATTATGGATCATCAAATAGAATCAGCCAAATCCAAGAAAAAGGAGAAGGGAACTGATTATGATTGTTCCCCAACTTTGTTTGTGTTTTGTGCTTTTTTTGGACCCCATGGCTATCCATGAGCACGACGACCAACGAATAGGGCTTGCGTGTACCTTAATCAAAACAAAATTAGCAATGTTTTATTGCAACATTAGGGCTTTGATTTTAAAAAAAAAAACAAATACAAAGTAAATTTGAATTTTTAAAGTTATGCTACAAAATCAGCTTATATATAATCTTTTTATTATGATTTAGGTGTCCGTATAAAAGGGAAGCACAAAATGTGTCCCTGAAAGTGTTACAAACATATAAATAAAAAAAAAGTGCCCCTTGGTAGAATAAAGAAGAAGAATATACGAGAAATTTAGTGTCTTTCATGTGACAAATTTGCAGCATAAGAATTACAAATTGCAGGCTGCCAAGTACAACATTGATCTTCAGGTACTTCCTACTAGCTAGCTAGCTAACATGAAATTCCTTTTTAAGTTGTTAATTAGTGATCTTAATCCGATTTATAGCCAACTTATATGTGGTTGAACTACCTGTACGAATTTCGATTTCTAACTCTATTATGGTACTGTGGGAATCTAGTACTAGTACTGCTGCTCGCTTTCTATGTTTTTTTTCAGTACACTTTTGAAGGATGAGGATCAACGATGGGAATGATAATGTCGTCAACCGACCATTCCTTTCAAATTTTCCAATTTGTCGTGATGAACAAAGGCGAAAGTTTGGTAATGATGGTTCCCCCATTACCATTAGTGACGACAAACATAAAAAAGGACGACTAGAGTTGTATTCCTAATTTCTAACCTTGGATTTTGGTCGACAGAAACTACCGATGATGATCACTGGTTTGCTTTGTGGACACCTCAAAGCAATTATTTTCATCGATATCCATATATGGTTTCTTAGCAATGTGGGATCTTGATCGCAATAGCAAGATCTCTAGGCCTCTCTTCACACTTTCAATTAGGCGATAAAACTAATGACATTTTGATAGTGAGGAATCCTCCAATAATATATGGTAGAATTTTGTGTATTTTTCTCCATTTCAATTTTTTTGCAGTGAGAGTGAAAGTAGAAAGGATATTTTAGTCTTTACCGTTCTTTATTAATTCATATAAAAATATATTGATAACAGGATTCAAACCACGATCTCTTTAAACGAAGACGATAAGCAGAACCAATTACACTAAACAAATTTGTTGTAGCTTTTTGAATACAAACCATAGAATAAGTTAAACTATGAAAACCATAGTACTTTTGCATCATGATTAGCTAGCCCACTAAGTCTCCTGTAAGTATTTTTATAGTGCTTGATACATCGATTTTCATAGTAGAATTTCAATTTTCATGTAACTTTCTTAATTTTAAAATATCTACTCTCTCCTTAATTTCCGCTAAGGGTAAATTAATAATTGGCTAACATGGAAGAAACTATTTATTTTACTATGTGTTGAGTCCTTGCATTTTTTTTAATTTAAAATATTTTTTGTGCTTTTTTATCTGTGTTATTATCACTTTTAAGATCCTCTGAAATTTTCTTCATAGTTTCACTTCCCAGTACAAGGTCGCCTATGATAATCAATCTTCTGGTATCTCTTATAACTACGGTTTGATTTTTGGGGAAGCTAGGTAAGAAGAATATTTTAACTCCGATATAAGTCCATGGAGAATAGGATGGAGTTTAATCAAGTAGTTAGAG